CTCTCGATTCACGAAAGGAGTTCAGTGCATTCTCTTGATGTCAATATACAAGCTCGTACGCTTAATTTGCTGCGCCGACACATTCAGACAAATTTATTATTAATGCACGCTGCACTCATTGCTGCTTGATAAGCAGTGTCTTGTAAGCTTACTGTGTCATTTATAATATATATATATACATGCACACATATGCAAACAATTACTCGTGAAAAACTTGTATCAAAGTGCAACGAAAGTGCATATCAGCAATCGAGCCTGATGCCAATGCATTTCGTTAACACTTGAGCAAAAAAAGTGCACGGTGCACCCTCTGTACGTCAACGGTTGACAGTGCAGACAGTCGTATGACCGGGTTGCCTATCTTCAGGCGAGACCCGGTAAACCTGTTTGCCTACAGGCAGGCGCTCGACAACCCCTTAACAATAACAATTCACGTCGTATGACGACGTCACGATAATATCCACCGTACATAAATTCCAATGCGAAACGTTTATGCTATGATTTCGTGATTTTTGATATTCAGGTGGCATATGTCGCAATATGGCACAAGTATGTTCACGGTGCTCTACACCCTATGCCGGAACGCACTTCGTGATCTGGAATAGGTGTACACGCATGGTGCTGCACAGGGGTTGTCAGACGGCAGATCAGGTAGGTGAATAATTTTTGAAAATTTTCCACCACCGTTATTTATCGTAAGAGAGATTTTTTTCTTGTTAACGGCTCGAGCTGAGGGTCGAATAAAAAAAAAATGAAATTACGCGACCAAGTATTTTTTATGAATACTCGGCAGCCATCGGTCTAGAACGTGCAGATCGCACTGGCAAAGAGAATCAACTGAGGCTTAGAGTGACCGTGGCAGTTTGAGAGCCTTTGGATTTTGAGGTTATGCATACGCATGTGCTGCCACTAGTGTGCACTGGGTGGCAACGAGGGGTAGTGAGCCCCTCGGTTACGTTCGAACTCGAACGAGGGAGAGAGACGGAGAGAGACTGGGTTGCCAGGGGTTGACTAGGTCCCCTCTCGGTTGGGACTCACTAGGGTTGCTTGGGACTCACGAGGGGACAAAAGAATCGCGTCGTACGCCACGCGGAGTTTTTTCCTCCCCTAACTGTGTTCACGCTTATAGAAATTTTGCTGAGTTTCTTAAGGCTGGTTCTTAATCCTCAGAGGGGGAGCCAACGGGCACTTCTGTGTTTATTGGATCCATCCCCCCCCCCTCCACCATAAATTACACCTCGAAAATGAAAATTACGAATTTTCGTATCTTTCCTTGAAAAGTATGTATACCAGTAAAAAGTCGACCGGATGGTTCTATGAAGTAAATGTAAAGTACAAGAGTAATAGTCGAAGCGCAACAGGAGTCTGTACCCAACAAGTGGTTGGGAGAACCGCTGCTGGGGTAAGTCGATCTGGCGGGTAGGGTGGAGATGTTAGAGAGGCATCGATGCAGCTAGGAAGATTGAGAATAGTGAGAAAGAGCGAGAGAGTGTATATAGTGGGATATAAAGAAAGAGAAAGACACGAGGATATGTAGATAGATAGAGAGTGAGTGAGAGAGAAGTACGTGATGCGTGGTACGTTGGATGAGCCGGTTGGATGTCGGTCGAGGGGGTAGGTATTTCGGGTGGCCAAGGGTGCTCAGTGCCCGGGGGCTTTTTTGGATCTTGCTAAGAGAGGGGGGAGAGAGGGGCGTCACGTGGTATAGGTGTATCGATGTATTCGTACGTGTGGCTGTGTCGTAAGGGGAGGCCAGAGACCATCTGCCCGCATATGTTATTCCGGAACGACACGAGCGAGGAGTGAGAGAGATAGATGGATGGATGGATGCGCTTATTTTTACCCTGGGAGAGCGAGAGAGAAAGAGAGAGAGAGTGAGAGAGAGACACAGAGGAGAACGGTTTCTGGTAAAAGCAGGAATCGAGGAAGTAGGAAGTGGTCCTTTTTGGATTCCTAAGAAAACGGCTGTTATCCTAATTAGAAAAGCGTGGAAAAGAAGGAGAAAAAAAAACATAATATATTGACCGTTCGCGTGGTCAGCATCCGAAGTTGTATATGAGATTTTTGGAGCAGCCAAACGGCTCGGAGATATTTAAACTGATAGAGAGAGAATGAAAAGGGGAGACTGAGGGAGAAAGAGAGACGGAGTTTCGATTCCACCAAGAGGAAGAGGAGCAAGGGTGCTCTCTCGGTAGCATTCACTATTGGCCATTGTTGAAAAACGAGATTTCGTCTGTCGAAAGAGTCCTCCCCGAAGGGCAGCTGGACGACTTCTCCGATCCTCATGGCGAACTTCCCAGCATCATTCTGCTGTGTCCTTCGCTCTCTCCCTCTCTCTCTCTCTCTCTCTCTCTCTCTCTCTCTCTCTCTCTCTCTCTCTCTCTCTCTCGATAGGACTGAATGGCTAGGCAGTCCATCGTTCCAGGCATTTTCAGGCTAAATCAGAGTCGATCGGACGAGGACGGAAGCTGCCGGTCGCCACGCTTCAGCCACGCGACTCCGCTGGTCGAAACCCTCGACATCTCTCTCTTGCTTCCCTCGCCGGATCCCCTTTCATCAGTCCCATTCTCTCTCTCTCCCTCGGCAATACTCCACTCCATTCTACTTTGCTCTCGCAAGATGCCCTGTTGCCAGTGGCTGTTCCAGGCCCCTAGACATTCGGCGCAGCACGTCCTGTGATTACATCTCGGCAACGATTAACCAAGAAGGTGCCAGATAGTCTGAGAGAAGTCCGTGGCTGTAGTATCTGCACGTAACTGGGTCGCATGAAGTTGAAGTGGTCCCATCGCTGAATCCTGCGAAGAAGCCCGAAGGGAAGCCATGACTGTATATGTCATTCGATGTAAATATAACGGTTCGATATCAGCAACGGTACCGTTGCTGCTTATTTTCGAAACGAAAGATTTAAAGCTTCAGCCGGGGGTAGACGCACCTACGGCAAAGCTAAGGGTTGCACCTACGTCCACGCTATACCTTTATATACATGACCATATAGTACCGAGCAACGTACATTATGTACTACGTGAGCACAGCAGTGCGTACCAAAGGCATGCTTTCCGAGTGCCCACCGTAACGTGCCCTGTGTGCTGGAACCGTAGAGCGATTTGGTGGTGCGTACGAGAAGTGCGTAGGCATTGGTCGTGCACACGTGCACGGGCACGCGTCCTGACAAAGAACCCGCACCGGCCAACCCCCTTGCCGCCCCCCGTTTTGCCCGGGAGCCCCGGTACCCCAACCTAACCTAACCAATGCCGCAGCCAGTCTCTCCCCCCTCGCACCAGGCAGCCGGACAGCCGGCTTCGCACTCCACGTATTCGATGCACTCCTATACGATTACTACACACATGCGCACGTGTTCAAACTCCCACTGTACCCTACTGGCGCACGTTGCTTTTTCCTCATCCCGATAGTCTGAGCTTGCTCTTGGGTACAATAGGCCATTTTCCCCGTACCTGCACGAGAGGGCAAGCGATGATCGCTGTGCGTTACGTGCATCGACGAGGTGAAATTTAGGACTCTTTTGCTGCCGGCTCCCCAATCCGCTTCGGTAACGGGAACGGGAACGGGAACGCGAATGGGGATTGGAAATGGGAGCGGCGGGAAGACTTTTTTTCAGTTGTATCAAGTTGCTCGAGACGACGCGCGTGCACCAGCTGGATGTAGTGCGTGCCGCTACTGCTGTCGCTGGTGCTGTTGCTGCGAAATCGGGTCACGTTTGCTCGTGTTTTTTAACAACTTCGTATAGGTCGAACCTTACCCTTTATGGCTGTAATTGGTATTAAATTAATAACTCTTAGGGTAACACTTTGGTCTGACGTATGGAATGAGCGATTTACGTAACTCATGGGTAATCGGCGATTCGCATTGTTGTATAGCGGAAAATAAATTATATCGATCGTTGAGAGTCTCGACGAACGCGATGCGTCTGGCAGCGAACTCATCTGGCGTCGCTGTGACATTGAGCCAGATAGGATGTGAAGCTTGGGTCTGGTTAGCACGTGGTCTTAATTAGGAATAAATGAAATTAATGATCTCGATGTTGCTGATTTATGAAAAGCTTTCGAAACTAATCCAGTCGGACGTTTTATCGCTCTATCTTTTATCGTTCTACGTTAATCGGCAATAAAAAGTATTGCTGGTGAAATTTAGAAAAATTGCAAATCATCATGTCTATTTTTAATTGAATACCAGCGATCTGCCTAATCTGTCGTCTCGTTGAACTTTCTTCTTACTCGTCGTTCACTATGTGTTCAGGTAAAAGAATCACAGATAGGCAGTCGCTGTTTACGAATCGAACAGATCACGGTGGTTGGTGGTTGTTGCCGTAGAAGACGGTGTCACCGGCAAAACGGCTCCCCTATTCGTTGCTAAAGTAGAAACGTGCTAGTGGGTTCCCGCGTTCCTGCGCCTCCCTTAGGGGCATATGGTGCGTGCGTGCGCTAGTGCGTACGCTGTGGTGCCCCTTCTCGGGAACAGTTCCGGGGGGGAAACGGAAAGGGCCCCGTCCCCCGTTTCCCGCGTGGCGCGTGCTCAAAATCCCCTCCGCCGATTTTCTCCCCTAATATCCTCGTCCTGGCGTACGCCTCACTCCGAGCGGCAAAATGCCCCTGAAACCTAACCCATCTATTCGACGTTTCCTCTCATTCCGAATGTAGACGCCATGCAGAGCGTAACCCACGAGCAGATCGGGATCGTCAAATATTATTGGCACGTTGTTTCTTTTGCTTGTGAAATTTCCACGAATCGACCAAAAATTACGAAAGTGATATCCTCACTGTGAAGTAAAGTTCGTTTTACTGTATTCGACCTTTTTTTTTTATAATTTACTTTTTTTTTTCATCATTCGTCATCGGCTCGAGTGTCGATCCCAACGCGTCAGTGATTCTCCGTCAGTGCCTTAGGTGAATTACGTGATTACTCGGTGTTGATAATTTTTCAATGTTTACACGTGCCACTGTGATAGTTATACGGCATCCGTTGTTCTTGTGCTTAAAATCTAGTGCAAGAAGTATCTATCGAGTTGACAACCATCGGAATAGACGGTGACCTCATGCTTTACTTAAGCTGCGCGCACGACACGACAACGAGACAATTAAACTTCAGTTTGGTATACGGAGTGAAGAAGACACGAACGAGTTGCTGGTGCGTGCCTGTGGTGTGGCTATAGATTGCTGAGTGTCCGATGTGAATTTCCCAGCAAGGAGGAGCAGAGGGATAGAACAGTGACCCTTCGCCCGATCGAAGTACCATCCGAGATTTGCATCGGAACTGGTCTTGGTCCAAGTCACCATCCTGGTCCAACTAGATTAAACTTGGCAAGATCAGGCTCAATCAGGCCAATCGGGCCTCGGCTGATTGTTTTCCTCATAAAAATCTTGTAAATTTCCAAGATTCATCCGACAGCTCTCTCCTTGATAAACGTTGATCGTTAATTGATACCAGAGTGAAGATCATTGTATTATCAAGCGAGCCAATTGCACTCGTCCTCGAGAGACATTAGAGTCTACAAGCAGACCGTTCTCTATGTCGTAAATAAGTACCCAGTGGCAGTTCACACGTGTTCCCTTGGTACTCGATTGTTTTCACCGTTCGAGTCTTTGACTGGCCCCGACGGCCCAGGCCCCCGAGTCGCATGTGTCCCCCTGGGTGCATGCGTGGCTTCAAGGGAGAGCGTGCGAGGACCGAACTGAAAAAGAGCGACCTAGACAGACGCCGAGATGACGACGATGGGCGTTACGGTGTTTTGCAACAGGCTGCAAATTAATGGCGGAGAGCAAGAGCAGTTGATGCTGCTCAGGAGTCTTCAGGATAACGAGAGCAACATCCTGAGCAATCAGACGGGAACGATGGGTTCGGGAACGGCGCAACTGATCATCCCCAGGAAGAACGGCGGGCTGGCCAACGGCGGGGCAAGTGGGTACGACCCCTCGAGGCTGAAGAAGCACGGGAAGAACGGCCAGCCGCCGCCGGTCGCCGTGGCGCGTCGCAACGCGCGCGAACGAAATCGCGTGAAGCAGGTGAACAACGGATTCGCGACGCTCCGGCAGCACATACCGAGTCACATCGCAGCGGGTTACGGGGACCGCGGGAAGAAGCTGTCGAAGGTGGAGACGTTGCGCATGGCCGTTGAGTACATCAGGGCGCTTCAGAGACTCCTGGCAGAGGCCGACGGCCTGGAGTACGATCCCAACGGAGCGATCGCTGGCTACCAGGCTGGACACGGGGCCAATGGACTCAACAACGTGCCGTCCCCGGCGAGCAGCATCATGTCCTCCAGTCACAATGGCTCCGCCGAGCGTCTTCTTCTGGAAGACGAGCTGGAGGACGAAGACGCTAAGCCCTCGATGGCCGTCCTAGGGTGAGCTGATTTTTCATTTTATTAAAGCAACCCGTCGTATCACCCGTAGACGATCCCCAGGTTCAAACTCACTCGATCCGCTTACAGGTTGTCTCCAAAGAGCTTGATAACGTCGCCGCCGTCAGGCTCGTGCGAGTACTACGCGCCCTCTTCGGTCGGCGACGAGGAGAACCTCGAGCCCAGGTCGAAGGCGACTACGTCGGCGTCAGTGTCCTCGAGAACGATACACCAGACGTTCTCGCGCCTGTCGCCCAGCTCTGCTGCCTCGCCATCTGAATATTACAGCCAGGGCGAAGAGAATCCTGGAGAACCGGAGGAAGGAACTCTTACCAGGACTGTGTACTCCTCCAGTCCTGACACCTTCTCCGGCGCCCTCTTCTACAAGCAGGAGATACCCGAGTCCGGCGAGTTCATGGACGTGGTCAGCTGGTGGGAACAGGAACAGGGACGGCTGGTACAACACACGCAGCATCTGACCCATGCATAAGTCTCTGGGTAAGCTCAGATGGATTACTTCGATTTTTGTCGTTTACATGAAAATCCACCGGATGCCACGGCGACCGTGTTGGTCTTATACTGGGTTACGATCGAGCCGCGCGAAGATGCGGTTAGTTGCTCCTCGTTCCTGGTACAAAACCACCGACGGCAGACTGTGGCTTTTCTCGGAGACGCTTATCTTACGTTCAAATGCGCCATATGTAATGTCGACTGGGCCTCTCTGGTGAAATGAGCGAACGACGACAAAAATGGATGCCATATGGGGTGCAATACGATCGAGAAGTCGGAGGGATAGATACCATTCACCATATGTCTTGCAAACCGAAAAGGAAGCCAGAGCTCAGGATAGTCACTCTCCTCTTTTCACTCTCATTCATCACAGTTCTCCCTGGTCCAAAGTAAACGTTCCGTTCTTACGATCCAGACTTCACCTATCGAATCCTCAAACCGTTAAATCCTTTGGGTCTCTGGTTATCGTAAAATGGAGACGACCAGAGGCCACAGGGACAAAAGAAGCAAAAGAGCCCAGGAGTCATTGCTAGAACCATGCTGGTAATGTATATTGATAAGATAGTCGGCTGGTTCACGTAGCGACATGCGGGCTCTGCTAGAATAATTAGTATTGCCGAGTGTCAACTCCTACTGTTGCTGATCGTCGATCGTTTCACTGACTTTGACTTACCCAGCTACGTGATTCTCAATTCCAGTCTACGATAGGGATGGCGACGTAACGTCAATGGACTTAATGGAGCATTCATAGATTCGCATTGCCAGGCCGATACTCGAGGAGAATAAAGACGAGTCGGCTGCTTGAGATAGGAATTTATTAAATTAATTCGCCGCGACGTCGCATCTCGTAAACTTCGTAGATGACCTCACTTTATAATTGTCATGAATTGCTCGACGGCCCTTGGCGTTCGTGTCCTCGTTGTCTCTTTTGTCTCTCGTGGGAGAGACGCTGCCGGGACACTTGCCTAAGCACCGCGTGACGGTTTCGAGATTTAAGACCGAAGAAACAATTTTGCTCGACCCTCAAAACGTACCTTGAAAATTAATGAAATCTGGTCCAAGGTAAAGTTTGCGAAAAAATCCTAATCCCAAGCTGGTCGGGGCTCTCTTATATTTTTCCCACGATACCTCAGCCTCGGATCCAGGAGACATTTGTCCCTTCCGGATATTTAATATTTCTCGATTCAGGTAAAAATGACAGTGGGATACATAATGGGGACGTGCCAATAGGACGGAGAAGTCGTGACAAAAGTATCTTCCCTTCTGTACTCGATATCCAGAGAGGGAAGATTTTTCGTAAAATTTCTCAAGGGATGATCCACTCTCGTGGTGCGGCCTAACGGTTTTCCTAGGAAACTGCTAGGATCTGCTGGGTCCTATTGGGCCAGACGAGGATGGGACTCTATCCGCTTGACTCTGACACTCAAATTCTATTATACGTATGTTGTAAGAGACAAAAGAGACCAAAATTTTAAGAAATACGTTGGTTTTAGACTTTTTCAGGTTGCTGCTTGAGAGGAAACTGCGGGGGAGTAAAACGGAAGGAAGATACGGATGACATTTTTTTTTATGATCTCAGTCGGTAGAGGATCCAGTCCGCTGCCTCAGGATTGACCTGAAATTGGCCTTGAGATAAGGTTAAGGTTAATAAGCTAATAATTAGTACATGATTAATCTTGGATTAGCTTACGATTAGCCAAGGAGTAACACCGACGCCTACTGATCCTGATCATCATCATCATCATCATCATCATCATCATCATCATCCTATACGTCGACTTTCTTCTGCACGTGGCCAAAGTACTTTGTTCTTCTGTTTCGGTGAGATTCTCGCGCAATTTTGAATAAACGACTGATAATGATCCTCGAGTGCCTTAGAGATACGCGGATGACAGGTTAATAGATAGTTTTAGAGAATTTTAATCGACAATGATGGAAAAGTTCGACAGAGCAAAGATTGACGAGGGGAAAGGATGCTGGGAGTAATCGGATGCATATATCACAAAATGATAACCAAGCTGTATCAAATATTTTCAATGTCTGCCAACGAGAGTGCTTAGCTCCAGAGATAAACTCAATGATTCTCAATTAATCAGGTTGCGAGTTACGTGATAAGGAATCGAATCGCCATTGAATGCCATTTAAATCACTAATTGTAAGCTAATCAAAATAAATTGTAAATACCAGTGCCTTACTTAAGATAAATAATCCACTCGGCGTAAATCCGAGTTATTTTGTACTTGATATTTTTTTATCGAATATTTAAAATACATTTGACTATTTATGCAATATTTTCTTTATTTTTTTATTTTATCCCTTCGATTTTCATCCTCAAAAACAAAAAAAAATTTCCCTCAATTTTATTCTTCCCTACCCTCCCTCGGTGGGTTCACACAGTTCACAAACCACAGGCTCACGTGTGCTCGGTCTGACACTCGTATTATGTAATTTCGTAATTTCATCAAATTGGTTTCGCTCGGGCGCCCTCGGACGGTTTTTCACTCTTACGCTGGGAGTCGCAGGGAGGGAGGCCGATATTCGTGCAGGCTCAAACTGCACAGGGGGTGAGTCGGTGGCTTCGTCATTTCCGGCGGGGGTACGTTTCCGGTTGCGTTACCTGTTCGTCTATCAGTCTGTCCAACCGTACCATTCCCCATACCATATTATTATTATTATACGTAAAGGGTAGTTTTCAATAGTTTTATTATCTAAGCATGGAAAAAGAAAACTTTGTATTATTTTAGTATAAAAAAAAAATATTGAAATCAGTCGTGCGCAATTTCGCTAATCGAATGATAATCCAATTGTCATAATATCAATAATCTCATAAAATATGCATGTGTTATTATTATCAGTATTTTCGGCAGTGATTACGCTACAGACATATTTGCCTTGCAAAGCGCCGTGTTACGGAGTCATCGAGTCCGCAAGAGAACGGAAGCTCATTGCATAAAATGAAAATTGTTATTTTTTTAACCATGCGCAACACATATATAAAGGGCTCGTAATCACAGTCAGTAATTTAGTAACGTTCTTAAATTATAGCGAAGACGTCGATACTCGTTCATAATTTTGTTTAAAAAATTTATACTAAACCCCAAGGCTGCAACGTTCACGAGCGTTATAAGAGCGATAGATTCTTAGTGGAAATAAGAGTACGTGATTGATCGGTCCAGGAGGAAGTGAGGGTGAACGAAATGGAGACGATGCATCCGGTCTTCTACGTTCTTCTCGCGCTCATCCTGATCCTCTGCGTGATCCATTATTACATAGAAAATTCAAGAATAGTCCGGATGGGTCAGAAGATTCCAGGTGAGTGAAGGGGAAATTTGGAAAAAAAATTATAATGTTAACCAAATTATTAAATACATATTTTGACGTCCGACAGGTCCTGCGACAGTTCCATTTTTTGGAAATGCTCTACTCAGTCTGCGTGTTAATCCAAGAGACATCCTTTATAAGGCCCTTGAGTACGATGTCTACGGTAACGTAGCCAGGGCCTTCTTGGGCCCGAAGCTAGTAGTCTTTCTTACGGACCCGAGGGACGTGGAAATTATTCTCAGCAGTCATGTGCACATTGACAAATCACCGGAATACAGGTGACGGTCTTATATATTGAAATAAATAATTATTGGTTAATAAATTTTTGTTTTTCCTTCTTTACAGATTTTTTGAACCTTGGCTCGGCGAGGGTCTCCTCATTAGTACAGGTGACAAGTGGCGTTCACACAGGAAGATCATAGCGCCCACCTTTCACCTTAATATATTGAAGAGTTTCGTACCACTGTTTTACGAAAACAGTCGTCAGTTGGTGAGAAAGTTGCACAAGGAAGTCGGAAAGGAATTCGATTGTCATAAATATTTGGCGGCTGTGACTGTTGACATTCTATTGGAAACGGCTATGGGACTGAAAAGTAACGACAGCGAGCTTAAGGCCTCTGGAAGTGATTATGCCGATGCTGTTATGAAGTAATTATGTTTTTGTTTTCTTTTCTTCTTTGCATACTATTAATAATTTTCGCACGCACTGGCACTCATGTGTTCTTTCTCTTGGTGTTGCAGAATGTGCGATATCATTCACCGTAGACAATACGACCTTACGCTGCGCATTGACGCCTTATTCAAGTTCACGAACTTCGCGAAGCAACAGAAGAAATTGCTGAATATCATTCACGGCTTGACCAGTCGAGTCATTGATAAGAGGAAAGAGGAATACTTGGAAGGTAACGAAACTACTGAAGTGGAGGACGAGAAGCGGGTTCAAGAAAAGGTAGTTGATAAGGATGTGACAAATGAAAAGGGTGAAAAGCATAGGAAGGCCCAGAGTATGCCATATATCAGGGATGATCTTGATGAGATTGATGAAAGTGAAGACAATGACGTAGGTGGGTAATGATGAATATTGATTTTTGAAATTGTTTTTATTAATTAAATTTTTTGGTTATTATTTTTCAGGCGAAAAGAAGCGATTGGCCTTTTTGGAATTGTTGCTGGAACTGAAGCGCAACGGTGCAAAGCTTACTGATCAGGAGATCAAGGAGGAAGTTGATACTATTATGTTTGAGGTGAGAGATGAAGGGAGAATGATGATAATAATAAAAGTAATATGGGTTTTTATATTTAATCAATCAATACTTTTTAGGGACACGATACAACTGCAGCTGGATCTAGTTTTGTTTTATGTATTCTGGGAATCTATCAGGATATTCAGGTAAATTCAATTGGGATATCGATTTACTTGAGAGTCTGTAAGTACGCTATGATGTCCTTGCGCTCTTCCGGTTTCTTCATACCTGCCAATACCATTTTCGTTCCTGGTATAAATTTCTTTGGGTTTTCCAAATATTGATCTAGAGTACTGTCATTCCACGTGATACCCTTGTTCTTCATGCTATCGGTAAAGTTAAAGCCTGGCAAAGCTAATAACACCAGAAAAATTACACACACAAATCATTAAACAATCATTTATATTGAGAATAATATAAAAAAAACTTACTGCCAGAAGTTCTGCCAATAACACCATGGAGGTTAGGACCAATTTTGTGTTTCCCACCCTTTTCGGTCGTGTGACAAGTCGAGCAGAGTTTTGTAAAAATTTTCTTTCCATTCACTGCGTCTCCCATAACCACTAAATTTTTTATTAATTAAATCGATATTGCCGAAACGATTCCGAGTGATCTTTAACAACCCAGTAAGAAGCTGTCCGAAACTAAACGTTAAACCCACCGATCAGAGTCTGTAAAAAAAATTTCAAAATTTTGGAGTTTGATTCACCAATCAGGACACAGTTGTTCTCGTATTCCGCCTTAGAGCCTTCTCTGAGTATCTGAAGTAAATTTTTTTATTTTCCCAGGAAAAAGTTTTTCAGGAAATAAACGAGATTTTCAAAGATACCGACAGGCAATGTACTTATCAAGATACTTTGGAGATGAAGTATCTCGAGAGAGTGATAATGGAGACCTTGAGACTCTTTCCTCCAGTTCCAGCAATAGCTCGTGAACTGAATGAAGATGTCAAACTAGGTAAACGATTTAGGAATTTTTTTTATCAATTACTTATATCACTCTTTTCTTTTTTCTTAATTTAGTATCAGCTGATTACGTCTTACCTAAAGGATGCACCGTTGTCATTCCTCAATACAAGATACATCGATCCAAGGATTACTATAATAATCCAGAGACCTTTGACCCTGATAATTTTTTACCAGAAAAAATACAACAGAGACATTACTATGCGTATATACCATTCAGTGCCGGGCCCAGGTAGGTCAAAGTTCCCAGTGCATAATACCGCAGAATTCAATTAATTAAATTTATAATTAATTGCAGGTCCTGCGTCGGCAGAAAGTATGCGATGCTTAAGCTCAAAGTTGTTCTTTCCACCGTTTTACGCGAATACAAAATTTTGTCAGACATCACCGAGAAAGACTTCCGGCTGCAAGTCGATATCATTCTGAAACGAGCCGATGGCTTTAGGATAAAAATCGAGCGTAGAACGGCACACAGGAATAATGATGAACCAATTTCTGTGTATTGATTTATTATACGCCACAGCTCTTATCACATATTTTAGGGTAATCTATCATATGATCGTTCGTTTATTTGTTCATTCGTTGAAACACGTTGTCGTCACACAAGTCGCGCAATAATAAATAAAATTAAAAACAATGCAGCTAGAGGGAATAAAAAATATATTTTAGTCTTTCTACTTCACCCTTTGATCCCTCGGCAAGTCATTACCAAACTCCTTCCATGTTGCTCGGGTAAAAGTTTAATATTGAAAAAGAAGTTTAAACACATAAAAAATTGTGACTAAAAATTACTCATGGTGCATCCGAATTGATTTTCGTTTTTTTATCCTTCCGCATATCCACAATGAGGAACTCCAGTGCCCAGGGTATGATAAAGACAATATTCATGAACAACAAAACATATTGACAAATATCAAAATCGTTTGTCAAGTCCTTAATGAGGCCTGAAATAATGAAAGAAAGAAAAAACCAAAGAAAAATGCTAAAATTCTAAGGACGCGGATAACAGATGACGATTACACTCATGTAATCGCTCTTTAATTTCTCACCGACAAACGGACCGGAAATGATGTTCACTGCACCGCTGATGATCGTAAAGACGCCATAAGCTGCTGCGAATTTATCAGAACTAAAATTCTCGATAACAACCAGAGGCTGAGTTGTAAAAAACCAGGAACGTATGAAGCTGATAGCGGCTGACGTAATAAAAATACCCATGAGCGTGTCCTGATAGCAAAGAAAGCCTAAAAGAATATATGACAAAGTAAGAAGACGAATGAGATAAGATCCGACGTCTGGACCCTTTTGAGAAAAAAAAATTGTTAATTGAAACTCACTCAATTTAGCAAAGACCACGACGATCATTGCAACGAAGAAAATATATTTTGCTCGAACGTCGACTAGCATCGTAAAGAAGGCTAAGAAAATTCTAGAAACAAGCTCAGCAACAGCACCGATTGTAACGGCATAGGCCGCTTCGCTTTTGCTGTATCCAGCGTCATTCATTATCAGTGGTAAAAATGAGGAGAAAGCGTATTCGCTTGCGAAAACAAAACTGATGCCGGTGCACGTGTTTATGAACTTCCAGTCTTTGAATAAAGATACTTCGAAGAAGTTAGCCATTGTTGATCTACGGATAAAAATTATTAATACTTAATCTAACGTAAGTTTAATCATTTATGAGAGAAACGTCGATTCTTACACGAATCCCTTGGTCCGGGTCTCGTCGGCTTTCTTAATTCCTGTGTCACTCCTTATTTTTGACCTTTCCTTCTGTCGCTGGTACTGATTTTGTATATCACCAAGTGCAGCAGTACTAGTAAGGCTCGTCATACTAGCAGCAGACAACATAGACAGACGCTTGGTAACAAGATCATGATGTGAGCCAGATTTCGAACGGACCGTAACAGTGGGACCGACGCCGTCGATTTCTGCGGATGAAGCAACCCGGCTCTGCGACGCCTAACAAGAATGGACTGTGTTACAAGATCATTAAAGAATATTTGTCACGATCCTCAAAAGAATTTACCAGCTTTAAGGTCTCGACCAATAGGGGTATTTCATTGGCCCCTTCCTTCAAGCTGCGCAGACTGGCCCATCTAGCTGCATTCGTCTTCACATAGTCTCCAGAACTTCTTCGACCGTCTTTCCGCATTTTCTCTTGCCCAGGTAACCTGCTTTCGTTCGGATTAATGTGGCTTTTCTTTTCCAACAGTGCATTCTCCTTACGGATTTCTTCTGGGTTCTTCATATGCCATTCTACTGGGTGCATAACTAGCATTGCTGCGATGCAGTTCAAGCTCAGAGCTCCAATCAGTGCTGACGTACCTGCGGCTCAGATTTATTAAAATTTGCTGTTGGCTCTTTGGATACTCTTACACTAGACTCACCTCGGAATCCGTAGACCCTCATACTTTTCTCAATAAATATTGGGTAAGCTATACTACCTATACCAATGATAACTTGCGTTACGGTCATAACCTAAAAATGACAAATTCTTCTTTTCAGGTTCACTTAAAAATGTGCATTAGCCTTAATTAGGTATAAGTAAATAATGGCCTACCGTGGCTCTTTTCTTGACAAAGTATGCATTAAAGTTTATATTGCAAACGGTGATCATAACGCCCAAACCAATGCCTTGTAAAAAAAAGATTATGCACATCTGATAGATGTGGTCGGCGCCGGCTATTACTATGTTTGGAATGACAAAAATAATCGAGCCAATAAGACCCACGGGCCTTATGCTATATTTCTTGAGCAGCGTGTTCGTTAATAAGCCTGCAAGTATCGTAAGACAATGGAAAAGTTAAAAGAAGATAAGAGGTTAAAGTAATGAGAATACAATAAAATTAAATTATCTTATAGCAGCGACATCTACTCAGTCTTGAACTACTAGAGCTACTTAGTATGAAAATTGTTCTTTAAGCAAATTAAAGAGCAGATTCACATCTTATTTCTGTAACAACAGACACTGTTCAATTGGCTATTGAAAATCAGTTCGTATCCGTCTAGTTCTTTGTTATCATCATTAACAATAATCTCTCTCACAGTTATCACAACTGTCAGGCACGACCTTCTCTGCTGTTTGTCGTCTGCCGTAATACCATGTAACGTACTGCGCATAATACATGCATGGTAAATTAACGTTAATCCTAGGAACGGAGTAGAAAATTACGTTTGTCATCGCCACCGCGATAAGACACTTTCATAGAATAAACGGACCGTGGCTTTTTATGAGATTGTTAAATATATTTCATATTCGCTAAAACTCATCTTTTAATTGTACTTACCGGAAAAGGAAAAGCTAACCATAAATACAGAATTAAGAAGGGTCGTTGCGGATCCGGCTTGACCTGTGGAATTCAGGAAGTCGCCAAAGATTATCGTGAAACAGATTGCTGGTCCGATAGTGGTTATCTATATAAATGTAGATTGTTACACATTTTAAAAAAAAAGGTGCCAATCAGAGAAACATCAAGTCGATTGATCGGCAGTTGGTCCATACGAATTGACTTACAAATATAACGATCATAGCCAGAGCGATCATCCAACCCCAGCCTCCATTAGGTGCCAAATCCTCTGAAGAAACATCTTCCGTCTTGAGTAGCATCAACTGCGCCTCGTCCTTCCCGTCGACAACATCCTTTGATCCATTTTCATGTAACTTTTTATTCAACATCCCTGCGCCGCTTTCTACAACAACGTCCAAGAAGTACCTCTAGTCCTGGACAAGTGACCACATGGAAACACAAGCACAGGATGGAAGGGCCAAGGACCCTTGGCATCTGGGTAGCGTTCATCGAGACTATAGATCTGCACGTCTCCATCCCATCCTGACTTGGATCACAACCACCACCACCAAAACACAAAAACCAGTTATCCCTGCACCCTCGAGCCCTCAAACTCGTACAATTAGAGGCCGAAATTGTGAATAAATTTGCGAAATACATTTTCAACCCCTAAATTAAGTCTATGCCGTTCAGACCTTTAGACCCACTACCAACAAGGTGTATTTTACATTTCTACCCTTTAACGTGCACACGAACTGTCTCTCAGAACTTCACCATGAAAAGTGTCACTGTAAACACGTGAAACAGCAACGTGATTTTAATAACCACCCTTAAAAACGCCACCTCGAGTAAGGGCTGTTTCTGTATCCATTCCTTCGCATGGTTTTGCTTATCACGTCCAGAACTTTTGCAAATGGCTATCGTAAGGTCTTCCGATAGAAAGCACTGTCACAAAACTTAACATAACATACCTGGTTAGGCTCATTCGAAGGCTTCCGGTAAAATCTCAATCCCTGCGTCGTGCGAATTTTCAATTAATCTTTGGAAAAAAAATATGTAAAGCAATGTCAAGCGAACATGAAAAAATACCTTTCGATGTTAAAACGTCGACACGTGATAGTCCGTCTTGAAATTTACTCTCTCCTGGAGAGCGAGAGCACCTCTAACCGATACCAGACTACTAGTGCGTTTTTAAGTGAGCATCATCAAGTAACAATAAGAAGATTTTGGTCTTGAAGATTTTTAAAAAAGGCCTTATCGCCTCGTGCGTTCTTAAGCTATGTAACATTGTCTTATGCCGAGTGAAATATGATGCACGTGCATACATCCAAATCAGGCGTTAAAACTGTCAACAAAAAAGTGCCATGTAATTTTATTAGCTCGTTATGAATGATGATAAAGCCACGTTTCTATTTTAATTCTCTGATAATTTGTGATGTCCTATCATAGATGCTAGAGAATCCGGCAAATTAGGGTGAAAGTAATAACGCCAATGTGATCATGATAACATATAAATTTATATGGGAATAGTTTTTTCTGATTTTCAGTTAAAAATCAAACAATCAATCACTTTCCCAACTTTTTAATAATCATCATTCATTTGATTGACAAGTACTTTTACATTGTCAACATTCTCTTTCGTTCTTTATTGTGTTCAACGAGTCGCATACATACTGCATTTTTACTTTCCCAATTAATAAGCGCCTATTTGTGTGCTGCGCCTTGATACATCTATGTGTAACGGGTTGCACGTCTTCAGGCGTGCATATGGTTCACAATCCGTTATATTGACTGACGCTAATTGTTACAGCAACTGCCTCGGCTAAGTAGATACATTTTATTAACTAGACTATGACTAATTCTATGTACGTTTTTATGTCAAACATATTATCAAATACTGGCATACTACTCGAGGTCAGAGCAACTATCAATTTTTTTATCACTTTATATTTTTATCCGTAAATACGAAACGAGCGACTCGTGTCCATTCAAACGTGGAGATTCGCGAACGAGCAAGTGGGAGTTGTAAAACGGGACGGACAGTTATCAGGGACGATATTCAAAGAGAAAATGGAGATTGGAGCAAGAGAGAAAGTGGGAGATAAGAAACACATGGATACCATAGTGAAAAACAATGACGTCACTCGTATCTTCAGTTGTTGACGGTGTTGAAAATGTGGACGGGATAGCTGCGCATTTGCCGGTATCGACAGTGGGGATTCATTAGTATGAGCATATGAATTCAGAGTTCAAGTACGTGGACTCAACTGAAATATTTTCGTGACTGATGTACTAACTTTTTGTTTATTGCCAGTTACGGACCGCGAGGCAGGGTCCGAGTATTTCTCGATGTTCGTACTGTGCCTGAACCGTGATCGCAACAGTTGTTCCCGAATGGTGTGTGTGATTTTGAAAAAAACATTTTTATGCGGAAGTGCAACCTAACCTACAAACACGGCTTAGTGAAAGCGTCTGGTGGTCCTAATTTCGAATGAAAAATCCACATATATATATGTATTGTAACGTTCCGCTCTTATGCCCCCTAGCCCCTTTCCTTCCACCTTTCTCGATGATGGACACGTCAAGAGCCCCACGTAAGAGTGCATAGCATACTGTGGATCTGCATAACTGTATCTGAGAGAACTCCTCGAATCCTGAAATTCCTCAAAATTCATATCGGGCTCTAACAGCGACGCCGATAAAGGAAAGAAAAAAATAGGACCTTCAAATCCCTAATATTACATAACTCCCTTGAAATTAGTCACAGGGAAAATCAAGAGGAAATAATATTATAGATCGTTATTTTTGATATTCCATGAATACAAGAACCCGTCATACGACTGGAATCGAAACGAACAAGTGCCCAGCGCCTATTAACCGGCACGCGTTAAGCACAGTAGAAAGACCAGTTGAACCGGTACTTGAAGAAACCGCTAATACTACTAGACAAATTAAAGTGTCAAATCAAATATTAAACGAAAAATCGTTATCCTCGCTAAAAGTAACGTATTCCTTCCGAGGATACAAGCAGCGGATTCCTCGACGGGGATCACTCGCATTGGTCGACCAGAGCGACAAAGTGTACACCGAAAGACGACAAGAAGCAGTAAAGGACTTGGGTAGTATAATTTCCAGAAATCAATTAAGGAAGCTATCCTGCATTCCAGAGCAAACCAGTGAACAGTATTGTACTAGAAGCTGTGGGAATTGATCCTTGGCAATTCTCGGTCTCAGGGTGCCTTGTGCCTCGTCTCTGTATCAGGAAGCCTGCAATCCCTGTAGATCTTCTGCAGCAAAGTCATTGTGCCAGCGTTGCCGGAAATCGAGCAAAGACCAATCCCTGAAGCTCAGCTCCCAAGGTCATCGTGATTAGCTCTCTGAGCTCCCCCCAGTCCTCATCAGGTCTCAGGAACCACTGCGATACCCCTTAGTATCCGGAAGGGCATCCCAAACACGTCCGCGTCGTTCTTGTAATAGAATAGTCAGGAGTGCTGACCTACCTCGCAAACCCAGCTAAAAAGACCGGGCTCCCAGTGTCATTCTGATCAGTAGCTGTCGGAGTCCAAACCTTCCTAATTCTGATCATCTGTGGGGTTCTGATGGACCATTATCGTCATCAGTTACCATCCCTACCATTGGCTGGCCTACAGTCATTGGACGCATTGTGCAATCTGCTGTATCGTAGCTCCAGCCTTCTCTTTCCCTCCCCGAGGGACTAGAAAAAGTAAACGATAGAGAGATACACTTCTTGTCGTCTGCGGTACAATAACAATAACTGTACACAATTACAGGACTGCGTGAGAGAGTGAGATAGAAATTAAGTGACTTTCTAGTATGTAATTTATGGAACAATATATTACGATTAATTAATTTTAAAATCAAGTCTTCTTTCCTATCAAGACGCCTGCCCAATGCACAAACCCCTCAAAGAGTCTCGCGATTCCTGTTCCTAGAAAATCACAAATAATCTCAATATATATAGGCTGATTCAAGGAATGTTACGTAGGATTCCAAGAATTTTACGAATTATATCTACGCAACATTCCTAGAATCAGCCTCCGATTCGTGGAATCGGCCAATCTCGTGACGTCACTCTGCGAAATCGAGGGGGGGAGGGGGCATGACGTTGATTTAGCACGGATGCGAACCTTCGAAGTGTCTCGAAGTGTCGGTAAATATCAGTGCAGGAATCTTCATCCAGAATCCCTCCCCCGCCCTTGTTATACTACTAATATAATTCATTTAATAGCCAGAGGTAATTGTAGAAATATCAATGACTTATCATAGTTATCATTAAGAAAGAAAAACCTGAAAATTTGAAGACCATCAGTCCTCCGCCTGGGCCAGATAAAACTCGATAGGCTAATAGATTACGTATCTCTCGTATTGCTAGTGTAATAAGTCTATAAAAACTGGTCAGCAAACGGGATAATTTTGCAGAGTGTTCTTGGTCAGCTGTTGAGAACTGATCAATCAATTCGTCGTTGACTTTGTGACTGGACGCATGTGACTCGAAGATTTTCCAATTTACTGATTCAGTGGGTTGACCAACCGAATTTTGTGAACTTGGACCACGTGGATACTCGAGGAGTACTTTTGACTTCTATTACTGTCGATTCTGCGAGTCTGAAACAACATGAAAGATCATACACGAAAAGTGATTGCACCTGATGGAGGATGGAGCTGGTTTGTCTGCCTTGGTAGCGGTTTAATTACGGTATTTATTATTTATCTATTAAATTTCTCAGAGTCGCATAACAAGACTGTTTTAACTTTCAGTTCAGCTTACGCTCTCTGGACCCGTGCTTTGGTCTTCTCTTTCACGACCTCCTAAAAGACCTCAAAATTGATTCCACCGGAGCTTTATTTATTACAAGCCTCATGGAGTCGAACCTTAACTTCTCAGGTTGGTAGGTGAAAGGTAGACAAGGTAGCCGAGCAAAGACTAGAAAAAAAAAAGATGAAAGAAAACTTTGTCATTATTAATTTAATATCTTCACCTTAATCGTCGTTTTGTTATTGATCAGGATTATTCGTAGCGCCGTTGATAAAAAGATATACCTATAGAAAAGTTGCTATCTTTGGAGCTCTTCTCAGCTGTACCGGACTCATCCTCACGTCCCAAGCCAATAGCATGTTTTATATAATTTGCACGTACAGCATTTTAGGAGGTGAGTGACGTCAGTCGTTTATGTCGATTAGGCGAACCCAGTGGGTTATATTTACCGTCTATTTACTATATTCATAAGTTTAAATTTGTCGATAGGATTCGGCACGGGATTTGCGACAGCTGCAGCCTTCGTCGCTCTCAACAATTACTTCCAGAAGAAACGTGGTCAAGCAGTTGGAATGTCCATGTCAGGAACTGCTATTGGTCTGATGCTCATGCCGCAGGTACTATATCACAGATTATTATGCAATATTTAATTGTCTATTTTCATCTGTCTCTTGGTATCCTGGACTGTCTGTCTAGTATAGATCGTCCACGGTCTCCTAAACTTATATGGGTTCAGAGGATCAACCTTGATAATCGGAGGACTGGCTCTTCATTCTATCGTTGGTGCCATTCTTTTTCAACCAGTCGAGAATCATATGAAGAAAGCACCGTCAGAAGGGGTACATATTATACACTGTTGTTGTGGAAAAATATTGTCGAGTTACATTTTCTCCACAGCCACCAGCTTTGCCTGAGAACGAAGTGTTGCTGGAACAAAATGGAAGCACCGGAAATAACAAAACAACGGAAACGGAAATGGAATTGAGAACAACCTTCGTATCACGAACCATTGTTTCTGAGGAGATCAATTTGGATATTAAAAGACGACGACGAGAGAGCGCTGCAAGCTTAAGCTCTGTGACGTCTATTCTGGATATCAATTGCATTCCCGCATCGGACGCAAAGCTGTCAGAGATACACGAGAGGGGTGAAAACGTTGAAGAAGATGAATCGTCAAAGGAAAAGAAAATTACGGTTCTACGACGCATCGTCAATTTCTTTGATCTCGAACTCCTCAAGGATTATGTTTATTTGAATATCATTATCGGGCTCAGCTTGTTCTATGTATCTGAAAATAATTTCAAAACGATGACAACATTTTTCTTATTGAGTATAGGCAAGTACACAGTCGTACGTAGCAGTACAGTTACACGAGCGGTATAAATTATTAACATTTTTAATTTCATTTCATAAAGGAATGAGCAGGGAAAATAGTGCCTACTGCCTATCGATCATCTTTTTTGCTGATATCGTGGCGCGTTTGATTTTGCCCCCAGTGTGTGACAAATTCCAATTTAAGAAGAGGACCCTCTTCTGGATCTGTTCCATGCTCGTTAGTATCAGCCGATCCGGTTAGTATTCTGGCCTAGTTTATTTTTTTAGCAACGTACCTCAAAGTTATCAAAACTCTGTTTATGACGCAGACACTCTGTCTCTTGTTGCTTTTATTTGTTTTCTGACAAGTGTTCGTCGAGCAGACGAAAGGCCCAATGCTGACGGTCATGCTGGTGGTAATTGGATTTTTACGTGGCGCTACTCTGGTTAACATGAACCTGTCGGTTTCCGAAAATGTCACCCTGGACAAATTGCCAGCTGCCTTCAGTATATTCATGGTGTCGAAAGGCGTCTTTGTAACGATCTTAGGACCACTTATTGGTAAGTCTTACCTAACGACTTCAATATCTTATCAAAGATATCACAAAATCGAAGCATATCTACTGGGCAATTGAGGATCAACGAAATCATTTCAAGAGTCTCTAACTGTTAAACAACAAAGTTTCGTAAACACGTTATTCAAAAACTGCCACAAGTATGAGTATTATGTGTATACGGAGTTTCTTCATAGTAAATTTTTCTCTTATCAGTTTAAGTAACAAAGCCTTTTAATAATTTCATAGGTTTCGTCAGAGACTACACCGGAAGTTACAAGGCGTGTAGTCACACAACGACTGGATTGGTCTTCATCTGCTTCTTCTCTTGGAGCGTCGAGTTCGCCCTGAAGTGGATTCGCACGAGGAAGACCTTGGAGAGCAGCCCCAACATTATTGCAAATCCCAAGAAGTCTGAATCAAAGATTTAATTATCAATTCATTCGAAAACGCATAATTTCACTTTCGTCCTTGACCAGTTATAACAGAAAAGTATACTGAGCCTTATTACAATAGGTGAACCGATAAAACAGTATATAGGCCCGCCAATACATTACTATTTATTGAGAAGAATGAAGTTACATTGATTTTCGCTTCTTCTCCGCATCGTCCTCCTTATCACTTTCTTACGTATACGCATGCTCCTGCAATTGGAACCATACGTACAGGCGCGCATGCACGGTACATGTTACGCAACGATTACGTTAAGATTGGACCCAATGAGAACAGAGGCTGCTTTCACACCGTAGAGAACGCAGACAGTCGTTCGTACGTACAGTATCGACGAACGGTTGAATGAACGATAGTGAACACGTGATCGGTACAGTGTGACGTGGAATTATAATAACAGTGTATAGTCTGCGAGCCCGAAATTTCTAAAATTATATAATAATCTTAAAAATTAGCTGGAATCAGCAATACAATGTAATACGTTGAGCGAACAAAGAAAAAAACATTAATGACACACCCGGCTTATGAATATTTGTAACTCCAAAAGTAACTCCAGCAAAACAACAATTGTGTAAGAATATAATTTAAAGAAATCTCAGATACATACGTATATTCGATTAAAGAATAACAGCTGTTTAAAGTGACATTTATAAACGAGCCAATTCAGTCAGGTATTTATTAACTTCGTGCCACCGGATACGTCTGTCCTTGTCTCACGCACGTAAATCCCCATAACGGCCTCTCTCTCGTACTCGCGAGAGATATAGGAAAATTAAGAATCCGAACGTCCGGAGCTTTCTCTATTCTCAAGATACCTTACCGGCGTTCTTAACGTTGAATCGATCGTATGACCACTGTACAATCTGATCAGTTCGTTAAAAATGTATCGCGCTGTAGACGTCACGTAACTTATGAAACTCACTATCGTTTCTGATCCACGGAGCACGCCTGGTGGGAGGTTCATAGCCCGTAGTGTAGGCTGTATGTATTTGGATGACCTATTCTCGTAGTGTTCACAGCTCGTGACTTTAGTCAGCCATGAGGCCCATGAGTAAGGATTCATTCGATGCATATTGTTTGTCTTGTACACGTCACTTCAGTGAATACGTAAATATAGTATGAACCTTTAACCCAGCTGCCTTACCATTAAATGGAAACTAAAAGCACGTATGCCAGATAGAGTGAGTGCGATATAAAACGTGGGACTCCGGTACGATAGTGTCTAACGAGGAGGGCGATAAAATAATTAAAAAGAAAAACTATAAATTCTCTAGAACAAACGACAGCTAGAACGGTAAAGAATTGTTCGAAGAAACAACGATGACAGAGCAAGAGAAACTATGATTGATGAACAATAAAAACATTGTTGACGAGACTAAGCGTGTCTGACTTATTCGTTAAGATAACTAAAAATAAATAATACTAATTACTGAAACACAAAAGGTGTCCTGATATCTGATATCTTATCAATGTTCAAGCGTGAGTAAGTTCTTACCGTGAGGAATTTCTTTAGCGTTCAAATCGGGGCGTAGGCATTTCCTTTATTAACTGTAATTATCATAGTCAATATTGTTGACAACGTCATCGTTAACGTGGCAGCAATTTTTGTAATCACTTACTCGTTCACGTTCAACAGTGCTAGACGACTGTAGTTCTCAAGTGTTCTTAAGAGTTGAACGACATCAGGCTTGACGTTTAAAATCATCAAGCTTCAACGTTATGACGAACGGGAAGCTGAGGGATACTCCGGATGAAGGCTGGGCCTGGATCATCCTTGCCAGTGTTGCCATCATCAACGTGAGTCCCTTTTTACACAGTGTGCTGACTCCTCAATTGTGTGTCATTGATTGAAACAGTGTGTTTGTAGTGAGACTGTGACATGGTTGCTATTTAAATGACGTTACAAAGATATATTTTTTATATATTAAAACAATATATTATTTTGCAGATGTCTGTACTTCCTATCCAGCAACTGTTTGGATTTATATTTAGAAATCGTTTGAGTGAACTGGAAATCAGCACGACCCAAACGTCGCTAATAATACATTTAAATTCGACAATCATGTGCAGTATGGGATTAATAAGTGGACCAATGATGAGACGCTTATCTTGGAGGTGTGCTGCCTATCTTGGTAGTGTCATTATAGTCGCAGGAATACTCTTCACTGCGATCGCTGACTCTCTGTTGACTTTTATTATTGCCTATTGTTTTTTGATCGGTACGTTGATCGTTAATTGGGCGTTAGAACTTTTTAATCCTTCTTTGACATTTTATAGGTGTCGGTCAAGGAATCATCTATCCAGCAACGAGCTTATCACTGAACACTTACTTCAGGGAGAAGCGTAAAATCGCTATGGCAATATCTGTCACGTTGACGGGTCTGGGACCAATAATAATGCCGCTTTTTATTGTGAAGCTTCTTGACAATCACGGCACTACAGGAACACTTATAATCCTTGCTGGTATCAGCACTCATGCCTTTATTGGAGCTTCTCTTCTTAGGAGTTTTAGAAAAGAAGAGGTAATGTATTCTTTTGTTTTTTGATTGTTAAGATCTAATTTCTGTACCAAGGATGACCTTTTCTTTCAATCTTACCAGAGACCACGGACGTGGTCTTACAGAAATTATCAGTGGAAACTTCGTCTACCATTGCCAATGATGACAACGTAAAAAATGATAGTAAAGACAAATTGACTGTCGCAGTCACCAATGATACTGTTAATCATAACAATGCTAAGGGACCAAGAAACTATCTAAAGCAATTGGACTCGACCAAAGAAGATACTGCATCAGAAGAATTAATGCTGTTCTTGAAGAGCGAGGAGCCCCGAGAAGAGAAAATGAAGATGAAGAGAAGCGTCGTCTCGAAGTGTGCAAAGGGCTTAGATTTAGATCTGTTGCGAGACAGCCATTATTTAATTGCAGTGCTGGGTAAGCGCTGATGGCCGAGAGGCTCAAAGAAAACATTATTTCATCAGTCGATCAAACTTAATGACAGAGAGTAAAGAAATCTTTGACAGGGATGAGTATATCTTTCACGTCGGAGCTCAACTTCAATATGATGATTCCAATTATCCTGAGTGATTGGGCAACTCTAGAGAAGGAAGCAGTGGCACAAGTGATATCAGTACAAGGAATTGCTGATATCGTAGGTAGACTTTGCATTCCAATTATTGCTCACAAAGCAGGCTGGACGTCCAGGTACATGTACCTGATCTCCCTCGTCGGTTCCAGTCTGGCCAGAATACGTAAGTTCCTGGTTACCTCGACTTACAATGCTCAAATCATTTTTTCTAATTTGTTTTCCCATTCACCAGTTCTCTTAGCCTTCAAGGACACATACGGCGCCATATTGGCCTTATCAGTACTTTTTGGATTGGCTAAAGGGACTAAAGCCGTTTTTCAATCTCTGGTTATACCAGACTGTGTACCGTTAGAAAGATTGCCCGCAGCATCCGGCCTACTTATGGTTGCAAATGGAATTCTCTCAATAACTCTGGGACCGCTCATAGGTAAAATAATTAGCAAGCTTTTTTAACGTAAATAAATAACGAATCTTTCTTTTTATCAGGATTGGTCCATGACCTGACCGGCAGTTACGTATATGCTTTGCATTTCACCTCAGCCCTCAGTCTAACATGCGTTGCCTTATGGTTGACTGAGACTTTCTGTAGGTCTTGAAGAAAACATCTGAGCCATCCATATAATTCTATCGAAGAGGAAGTTACCTTGACTTTACAACGGAACCTCACTCAGGGATATACAATCAATTAACTATCAATCTTTTTTATACATAAGAAAATGATGTTTTTTTATAAAGTCAGCCATTAAAACGATACATACCAAAAAAACTTTAAGGAGTTACCAATAACAGTGTTTTTATTACTTACGTATACCACGTGCAATACAAAAAATATTTTATACATGTGTAAGAAACGTGAAAAATAATATCCGCATGGCTTACAGCCCATAACCTACTATGATAATTACAAAAATAAGATTCCCTCCGATGCCAGGACACCTTAGTTTTATATGATTGATGAAGCAATCCATTTGTCAAGTGGAATATTATTTGCACGATTTCGCCATTGCATTCTTGAACCTTTGCTCACGAGCAAACTTATGAGAACTTAACATTAGTTAATTCACAATCTCAGTGAAGCCAATCGGCACGATCTATTGGCATACTGCCAATGAGTTACAAGTGTTGATCATCATTGTATTACAAGAGTCTTGCGTTTTTATTCGAATGTGAAGCGATCAAATAAAAATTACTTTGGACGATGACTCAGTTGCACGAGTAAAAAAAGGACAATTAATAGAGCTATATAGCAGATAAGATAGCCACGCAGTGGTTGAAATAATAATAATTGGTCTAGATATAACAATCCCCACATTTGCTGCATGATCGACGGTGGCTGGCACATAGTCCCAGGGACGGACAGACGCATGGAGATTACCAGAAACGCGCTGTCTACTCATTCTCGTACGTGGACGACCCACACATAATCCTATACTCGCGAGTGGCGCGTCTCGACGTCGTGCGTCGAGTTGTCGCTTATCGTTCGGCCTTAGTATTTTTACTCGTTATTTTACTCGCTCTTATATGCCAATTAGTAAATATCAGTTAATGATTCAAATAAAACTTTTAAACAATAATCGGTGACTGTTAAAGTGGGCGTAAGTTACATGGGTGGATGAGGAGGTGGATCAAACATGAGAGGAAGCGAGAAGATAAGGTCGGACAAAGATCCCAAGAGCGAAGACGCTCAAGAGAGGAAGAGGATGCTGGAGCAGAAGTGCGAGGAGGAAGTGGAGCATCGGATGAATGAAAGTGAAGATATTGAAGATCAAGAGGATAAAAGAATGAAGAATGAATTCGTACCTCCGGACGGAGGTTGGGGCTGGATGATCGTTATGGCTGCTGGATTTTCGAACGTAAGCTTTATTATCTGAATAATCGTTTTTTAGCCTCGAGAAGAAAAAAAAATGGACGCACTTCCTCGTCGGCAAAACTATGAATGGTTGCAAGCGACTCACGAGCGTACGATCGCGTCTCTTGCAGTTTTGCATCTTGCCGGTATTACAGTCCTTCGGACTGATCTTCAGGGACAAATTTATGGAGCTGGAAATAACATCGTCGGAGACTACGACGCTAATCAATGTGAACAGTGCGGTAACCGCGTGCATAGGTAAGTATCGTCTTATCGGTATGGTAAACCGTGGCTTTAGGTATGGCGAAATGAAGCAAGGTAAGAGTCAAGTCAAATCGAGTACGAGAGTTTCCGGGTAACGATCAACAGAAACATAAAGATGAGTGTGGAAGTTGCGAATTCAGATGGAATATAAAACAGGGCTAGGCCAATGATAAAGTATCGCGTTGTTTTACGAGGACGAAATCGATAAACAAATATTTATTTGACACTAGATTTTATCTTGAATTCCTCTTTTTCTTTGCCCTCTTACTCTTTCTTCTTTATCGTTATCGCCTATCAGGTCTCATTCTTATCGAAGCACTGTCCCAAAAGACAGCAGAGCCGACCTCATGAGTATAGATGCGACGTACTGTCATCGGAAAACGACCGAAGAAAACCAGTTGCTGAAAGTTCATCTACCAATTTCTCGCTCTTCGTCATCTGTTCTTGGTCTTCTCTTCACTTTCATGCTCCCCTTGTTTTACACTCAAGAGCCAGCAGTAGACGCCAGAAACGGTACGGAAGGATTGCTGAGTCGGCGATAACCTTGCTCTATCGTTTTGTCTGACGTCCAGCACAGTTTTGGTCACTCAAAAACTAAGCCAATTGAGTGATCGCATATCAGTCGTATATAACCATATCGTTATCGTGGCACTTGTACGCGATATCGCGATCACTATACTTTTATATCCGAAGCACATGACTACGGCTAACGTATTCCACGATTCTTACGTAATAACGTCCACGGTTGGATATCTCGAAGAGCGCGTGCCTTTCAATTTGGTTAATTAGCCGTTGCAAGGATTCTGTAATCGGCTAAACTATTAACACGTCCAACGCACCAAGTGCTTCGAACGAATCGTTCGTGAATTCATGAACGCTGCGAGATGAGAGGAAATTAATAAATATTGATAAACAGGAAATTCCTTACTCCTGGCAGATACGTACGCGACTTCTAGACGGTATGCATATATTGAGAATGAAGTAATGATCAAGAGGCGACAACTGGGCAATTATCATTAATTATTCTTGTCCTGAATAACGTGGCAGCTACAACGCACGTGACGCAGTAAGCCGATGAGTCATCAAACTTGACTTCTTCCAATTGCAATGAAGATTTAATGTCCTCTTCAATTGTCTTGCCTTTTTTTTCAACTGCCTCTATTCCCCTCGTGTCTTTTTTCTCGTTCGCATCTCGCTGGACGAAAGGAAGGAGAATAAAGAAGCGTTTGAGTAAGCGTGACAAAAATGTCTTGGCGGAGGAGGAAGTCGCTCTTAAATCTCAATTTCAGGACTGGCGAATGGTCCGCTCTTCAGGAGGTTTAGCTACCGGCAAGTTTCCTTGACTGGTGCCCTACTCTGCACCATTTCTATTACCATACTTTGTACAATGAAGAATTTCGGAGACCTGCTCGTTTTCTTTTCCATACTCTATGGTAAGTCTGTGGCCGATATTCATTGTCTGGTTATAGTCTGGAACCCGTAAAGCGCTAGGGACTTTATCGAATTTATTTTTTCTTCTCTTCTTTCGTCAGGTGCTGGAACGGGTATTACGATGTCCTCCAATGCTTTGGCGCTCAATACTTACTTTAGAGATAAGAGAAGAATAGCAACTGGACTCAGTTGGACTTGTACTGGCATGGGACCCATACTGATGCCACAGGTTAGTCATTTCCTTCTTATTGCATCGATGTAAGAATAATTTTATATAGCTGATCGTTTTATTGATCTTTATTGGTTCTTGCAGATTATCACGCTTCTATTGCCAATTTATTCTGTGAGAGGGACCGTTCTTATCTGTGGAGGAATTGCGTTTAATGCGGTTGCTTGTGCCTTACTACTCCAACCTGTGTCCTGGCATGTCAAGAAGAATAAAATAAAGAATGATAGCAATAAGGAACTCTTGAGAGATAAGATCGTAAGTCGTGGATGCAAGCAATTACAGTAGGTACTGGATAATTGCTCTTCTCATCTCTCTTTTTTGTAATATATATTTATTGTCTTCTTCTTGTGCACGTATAGGGTACTACTTGCAAACCAGTATTAGAGGAGGACGAGCATCTTCAGGAGTGTGATAAGAAAAAAGATAAAAACTCAAACTCGAATGATGCTTTGCTCAATGAGTCCTACAGTAAATCTTTAGAAAACATTGATCAAAATAAACCATTGACTAAGGAGAGACGTTCGAGTCAAAGATTTGGTAGTCAGTATCTTTATTATGAGGATAAAGAAGTTGGCGCATCTGGAATTGACGTAATTGGTCCAGGGACTCCAATGATGTCTCGAGCAAACGATGGCTGGTTGGTTATTATTTCTTAAATAAATTCTTCAATGAAATCTGTGTTGTTTTTCTTTTACATTCATTTTTTTAGGTTCTCACGCAAAAATGCATCGAACGCATCGTTGACCTCGAGCAAAACTATAATGAGAGAAAATTCTCAAAAAACTTTGAGTCGTTATCCATCAGTGAGTCTGAGCAGACAATCAAGTATGAAAGCTTTGAGCAGAGGTCCGTCGATAAGGACATTAAGCAGGTAGAAACTGAAAAAAAAATTTGCAAAAATTTTCAAAAATTACTTTAATACCACTTGAACCTAAATTCCAGACAAAACAGCGAAACGGATGGTTGGAAGAAGAAGATATCAAATCTTCAATCTAGCATCAATTCACCTCTAATTATATTGAAGGAATCCTGCGAGCATCCGGAGGATGAATGCAGTAATGAGAATTGCAAAAACGAAGAATGTGTCAAAAAAAAATTGACACAGTGTTTCGAGTCCAACGGCATCCATATAAGTCAAGACCGTCTTGTACCAACATCAGCCACGATGACGAACCCAGTGCCGATTGCTGAGGATAAATTTAATATAGCAGTAAAGGAAGATTCTCATTTATCCCATTGTGTTCTTGTTCTAAAAAAGTAATCAATGATCGACGGTTGCAGGAAGAAGAATTTTATTCTGGTCCATGGTACAAACGCGTCTTCCTAGCCGTAGTCATATTCTTCGACCTGGACCTCCTCAAGGACAAAGTCTACGTAAATCTCATGCTGGGAATTACTCTGGCAAATTTCAGCGAGATCAATTTCTCTTTGCTAACGCCATTCATCCTTGGCGAGTATGGTTTTAGCAAACCGGAAGTGGCACAGATGATGTCAATCCTAGCTGGGGTTGACGTGGCGACTCGAATCACAATTCCCTTCATCGCAAATTATGTCGGCTGGGAAAACAGAACGTTTTTCCTGGTAGGAGTCAGCACTATGGCTGCAGGACGTATCAGTAAGACTGAATTAATTTTGATCTGTCCTAAAACTGGTCTGTTAAGGAATCCTATTAAATGAGATGCTGTTGTTTTAGTTTTGGCACATGAGCACAGTTACTACACGAGCCTAGGAGTAGGCGCACTAATCGGTGTAGGAAAAGCACTTCGTACCATCTTTATGGCGCTTGTAATTCCTACACACGTTCCCTTGTCACGACTTCCAGCTGCAACTGGACTTCAGCTGTTAACCAGTGGAATTGTCTTTCTAATAGTTGGTCCCATTGTCGGTGGGATTCGAGATGCAACTGGGAGCTACTGCGTGCTGCTGCATTGTCTGAACATCTTCACTTACCTCACTGTCATCTCGTGGACTCTCGAGCAATATCTGTCTAAACGACGAAAACGAAATTCTTCATGGGAATCAAAGTCATCGGCTTGATTAATTAAATTTTTATATTTCTTTAGCAACTGAATCATTTTGATCTTAGTCCAAGTAACGAGAATACCAGCATGAGTAATTAATATATCAATATTCACTCGGTCGTACAGATCACAGTATTATGTTAATCGTATCCCATATATTATACGTTAACCTGAAGAGTGACGACGCTCTTCAAAAATCTTTCTAATTGTCACAGCCATTGTAGAACAAAGTTTTTTTATCCTTTGTATATACTGATCATTCTTCATTCCAATAAAAACATTTCATCAATTAATTTCATAATTTCATAAATTCCATCCAGTCTCTGTGTTACGCGTGACAACTGTTTAGATCTTTATTTGAAATCGCAGAAGCCTATGAGGCTGTAGACAACACCTTGTTTTCCTGTAGTAAAGACCGATGGTAGTTTTCACACTAATTGTTAATGTCTGCAAGATCGCTTCGCTACTGAAATAATAGATAAGTGTCGATAGAAAATGTGTCGAGATGCGACGTAATCGATTAGATTAGACGTATGGTTTATCAGAGATACGATGGACCTTGCACATTCGCAGCTAGCCTATCTTTTTCTGTGTTTGTCCTATAAAAGTGAACGAAAAAAATGTCCTATCGTCAACACAAGAAGTGGATCACGATACGATTATACTGAGACTTGCCCTTGGCTCCGTAACAGTTAGTGCTTTTGCCTGTGAAAGTGAAATACATGCAGGTGGTATAGCAGACGGAATAAAACAAAAAAGTGATAAGGCAAAGGAGAAGAAAAAATGTCGAAATATTTCGCGGCTGAATAACAAAAAAAAATAAAGACTATTTATTAACGGTAGTGATATTGGGAAATTCTATTGGTAAGATTGAAGAACTATGAAGGAAAAAGTGACATTAGTGCCACCCGACGGTGGTTGGGGTTGGTTTGTAGTAATCGGTTATGCATTAAGTAATGTAAGTATTATTCTTAATATTATTAGAATTTGATACAAATGAACTTGTCTCACGCTCTTATCACCTTGCAGATTGTCACAATTCCAATTATGCAAGGATTCGGATTGCTTTACAAGGATACTTTTGACAGTAAGGGTATATCAGCGACTGAAGCTGCTACCATAATAAATATCAACTCAGCATTCGGCATGATATTTGGTCTGGTGAATGGAGTTTTTTTACAAATTTATGGATACAGAAAACTAGCAATTGCTGGATCGCTGACGTATAGCCTTGGAATTATTCTTACGTTTTTCGCATCGAGCTTCACTGGCTTCATTGTTACATACGGCGTTATGGCATGTAAGTGCAATGATTATTTAGGCAAAATTAACAATTTTATTAAACAACGAATATCAGTGAAACCCTTTTTTAGCACTTGGAACAGGATTCTTAATGTCATCGTTTTCACTGGCTCTCAACACTTATTTTCGTCAAAAAAGAAATCGCGCTGCGGGCATAAGCATGACTATCACCGGTCTGGGTCCTATTGTGATGCCCCAAGTCATAACTTTGCTTCTTGGTATCTACGGTGCCTCGGTAAATAATTATAAAAGTTGCATATATTAAAAATACTTTATTAATTTCAATAAAACAGGGAGCTGTGCTCATCCTGGGTGGCTTCTGTCTTCACTCCCTAGTTGGAGCATTGCTTCTGCAACCCGTGAAGTGGCATGCCAAGAAAGCAGTTGAACCATCCACGCCCCAGGAATTGATTCCACCTGAGGATCAAGATAAATACTTCGAGGATGAAATGACACAAGGTAAATTAATTGTTGCTGTGAATTTGATTCTCATTTAATTTTCTTTCTGGCAATGATTTTAATAGAATAATTTTTGTATTTTTTTTTTTCAATGGATGCATCTCTTCATCGTGAGCTTTAGAGCAAACTGAAAATGAAAATATCTCGGGCTCGGCTGAAGTTATTGGGGTACGTCGAAAAAGGACCCTGACCATGAGCAGTATTGATCATGATGTGGAAACTGCAAGTATTTATGGTTTTGAGACACCACTTCCAAGAAAGAAGTCGACCAGTGTTATGCCACATATGACTGTACCACGTTCAGGTACTTTGTACTATTTTCATTGGGATCATCTTGTTTTAGATCTATGATGCAATCTTATTGATGAACTAATCGTGATGAACTAGTCGTGATCGATATTTGTAGATTCGGATATCGAGACAGAATCTCCTTGCTCTTCATCCCTTCTGACCTATCGAAGGAGCATCAGTCAACCAAATAAACAACCTGCTACTCCGACTGACATTTGCGAAACGTCAAGTCCATCGGTATTCACATACCATTGGTGGAATTCGGGTTTGTTTATTCTTGACAAATAATAGCTATACCAATTTTTGTGCCCCATTATAATTGGCTTTTTGCTTCAGAAAAAAGTCTCGATACGATATACCTTGGTAGCAGCATCAAAATCTTCGACGACACGTCATCCAGAATACTTGGAAAAGGCAACAGCCGTTCTGATCTTCAAAAGGAGAAGAGCTTTAGCTTGAAGAAAAATAATAGTGTTAGTGTGCTAGGGGAAAAAAAATCATTAGTCGAACCACTTGAAGAGGCTGACGAAGAGGAAGAAGAGCAATTAGACAAAAAGGAAAAAAAGATATTGGTACACGAGAAGGAAGAAGATCCAAAGAAAAATGAGTGCGTAATTTTGCGACTGTCAAATATTAAAATGTCAATTGCTTCTGTCCTCACATATTTTTCCATTTTAACAGGCAAGGGTCAATCTTTCGCCAATTGATCAACAGAATCGTCATAATCTGCGATATGGATCTACTGCGCGATCCAATTTATGTAAATTTAATGTTTGGCATGTCTATAGCTATTTTTGCAGAAATTAATTTCTCACAACTGACGCCATTAATCTTAAGAGATTTTCAATTCAGCGATGTACAAATTTCTGCAGTGATGAGCACAATTGCATCTGTAGACCTTGTTTTTCGTGGAGTCTCACCTTTCATGGCTGAATGGCTGAACAAATCCTCCAGGACCATGTACCTCTTCAGTCTCGTATTGCTGGTGATTGCACGAACAAGTATATAACAACTGTTCCATCTTCATGAATCTTTGCCACTTGGAAGTTCACGCGGTCAAGTACCTTGTTATCTTCCAGCACTGATACTTACCAGTTCATTCTCTTCGGTAATCATGGTGGCAATTGGTCTTGGAGTTGCAAAAGGTATTCGTTCCGTTAACATGATTTTGGTAATTCCTTCTTACGTACCATTCGAAAAATTAGCATCTGCTTCCGGTATCCAAATGGTTGTTAACGGAATATTTTTATTGTGCGCTGGACCATTTCTGGGTATGTTGACGCAATTTTATTATTATTATAATATTCCTTCTTACTGTATTGTCGGTAGTATTTTTATTTTTATTCATTTTTTTCAAATCCCTTCAAATCCAGGAGTTATCAGGGACAGAACCGGCAGTTACATCATATGTATTATTGTTTTGAACTGTCTTACCTTGTTGACCATCACCATGTGGATTACAGAGCTTAGTATAGTCAATCGATTGAAACGACGAAAGAGGAATGAAATACAAAGAAAAGAGTCAACCAAGAATTAGAAAAAGTACGTAGCAATCATAAAATCTAGAGCACAACGTCCACTGTTATCTATTATTTCCTCTAAAAAATAAGACTTTAATTATATTTTTTTATCGTGATTCTAGGTATTCATCCTTCCAGCGCAAAAAGCATCTACTATAAAACCATCACGTATATAGTAACACATAATCAGGTTAATATTACCAAAACAATCGTATCACTGTTACTCACACTTTTATCATTCTTAAGCAATAAAGTACCATAACGACTTTGGCTCTCTCAGTCAACATTCTATCATTTTGCTTCTGCCTTTACATACGTCAGCAGTCCACAGTGTAAGACGTAGGTACATTGGGACACGAATAGCCTGGATAAAATATAACCAATTGATGCAAATTCAGGCAAACACACGGTACAATGACCCTAGTTGAATCTCATTGGAAGTCCAGCTTGCAGTCATTGGATTTCTCATTTTCCCTCAGTCATCAAAAGTGAGTACTCACGCCTAACGTTTCTACATTTAGGTACATTAGTATTCAGCCAGTGTACTAAAGTTATTCAGAAAGAGTACAAGCTATTCATGCAAGGCTCACTTCACTTTGAACTTTCAGCGTGCGTTGCGCATTTGATTGATACGGTGAAATCGGCGAAATCAGTGGAATTGGTTGATATTCATCATTGCTTATACGTCTGGCTATCATCCAAGAATGCCACAATGAGTACTGATAACTGATTATCTTCAGATGAGTAGGTTCTGTATTCTTTACTTATATTACATGACGTTGATCCTTAGTTTCCTATACTTAGACATTAACAGCTGGCCAGTATTCACTTTGGGATACCACAAGTAAGCGAATGATTACTGAGGTAATTGACAATCTTCATCAAATTACAATTCATCGTAATTATCAATACAGATGGAAGCCTAAGTATCTTATTAGCTATGCTTAATTCCTAAAATAGTCTTTTTAGCGAGGCATCATATTATTACTCTTCTTGGCAAATAAAGAGTAAAGATGATACCAGTTGATGAAGAGTCAATAAAGAATTATCGATGCATTGTTCGTCCAAGGTCATCAGTTGTATTGTTAGTAACTCTTGTATATTCCTCGTGTTCCATGATTCCCCAGAGTGGTCTGTCCTCTGTAGGTCCCGTTGACGCCGTCGCCAGGCTGTTAACTGCCTGTGGCAAAACCTGATACGCCTTTTCTGTCCACTGAGCTTCCTTCTCGAGACTCTTGGTCTCTTCTTCTTCCCTCGATTCTGATTTTATCTTCGAGTCATTCGTACTTGGTTCAAAATTCTCGACGGACACAGGAGTCACTACATAAACACGTTCGTTGTTATGCGGTGAAATGGATACAGAGAGTTTATCCCAGAAGTCATCTCTGCCTGCATCTTCATCTGCTGATTTTCTCTCATCAGGGCTACCAACACGATTCACCTGATCGCTAGCGGATACTTCGTGATCAAAGTCATTGAAATTAAATCCAGATAAAATATGATTGTCAGCCTCCGTTCCTTCTTGGGTAGCTGGTACTTGAGTGCTGGTGCTCAGGTACTCTTCAGGTATCTTTTTCGAGGGCTGAAGATACGGATGCGAAGAGCTGGGTAAAGCCGTGCTCGAGGTCATTCCTCGGGAATATTCCTGCATGGCAGAAAGTCGAGTGTCGAAAATCAGGTAGTTTAAGAAAGCGATTGAAAAATGGGAGAGTCGCTAGGGAAAGTGAAGGAAGCGTGCTACTGCTGTTAAGTTATACCTGAATCGTCCAATTGTCAATGTTTTTCTGTAGTCGGAGCACGTCTATGGAGTTGCCAGTCTTTGTTCCCGGAGCAGAAGTCCTGGACACGGTCTCTCTAGCTAAGATGCTCGTTAGAGGACGTGGTGCCAGAGCGACCTCATGGCTACGAGATTCCTGACCAAGATGATTTCCTCTATTGTAGGTCAGATCAACTGAAGGCGCCTTGCGAGGCTGATTTTGTTGCTCCAGAGGACCACGTCCACTCCAGTCATCACTGATGTCCAGCGACGCCTTCGAATCCTCAAATGGCCTTGGCGTATGCTGGGACGTATATGGAATGATTATCTGCACCTAAAACGTAATAGGACAATAATTAGAGAATTTACTGTTCTTTTTCCATAAATCAATATCTTTATTTCTTCCTAATTACCTGTTTGTTCCTCTTGACCGGAGTCAATGGCGTAGTCACGTATGACAATACAGACGAAGGGGTGGTAACAGGCAATGGGGCCGGACTTGATAAAGTATCATCAGCTCCATATCCAAATTGCTTTCTACTAAGGCCACCTGTTGACCTTGAATTTTCATCATTCTCTTTTGCTGCCATTTCACGCTTGAAACTGTTGTAAGACTTCATTAAAGCGTCGAGGAATGGTTCCTCCGTAGTGATAGCTGTACTCGTTAGTTCAGAGTATGTGGCATCTGGTGAATGCTGGGTTTCGCTAACTGCAGGATATGGAGGATAAGGAACATAGACTGAGCTTGGTTTATATGGAACAAGAACGGGTTTAGAATTCTCCGAATTATTCAGATGCTTCTCGCTATTAAATGAAACTTGTTCTCCAGTCTGTTCTTCAATCTGATGCTGGTAGCTATCCACCAGATGGTGATTTTGCGATGAACCATCGAGATTGCTAGATCTGTTATAATCAGCATCCTTATCATCTATTCCTTGGACCTCCTGCACAGTCGCCGTATCGATCGATGACGATCCGTATGAATCATTCGCATTGCTGCTCCGGAGAACGGAAGTTCCATAGGAATTGGCTGGTTCTTCCAACGGCGGATTCAAACCGATTGGCTGAGCGGATGATTCATTGATTTCGATCACTGCTGATTCCTCGTAATGTATTGGGTGTTCTATACTAGAAATAGATTGGCTAGATGCTATACTAGCTACAACGTCAACATCCTTTCCCTGTTCCTTGAGACTAGGAAGATGGTCAGTTGGCTGCGAGGATTGAGGCAGTTGTGCGTCGCTGGAATAACTGGACCAGGATGAGGAAGATGAGGACGAAGATGACTGATCGATCGATTGACTATGATCCTCGTGTATTTCATGGGACTGTTGAATACTGACTCCGGTGGATATACCAGGATAAGGAGCACTGGAAGATGGTTCATCGTGATGCGACGTGGGTCCAGTTGGAGGTTCAATAATTTCTCCAATTGAACTAGGTGGCAGGATGTCGTCTCCGGGTGAGTGAATAAAGACAGGGTCAGAACCATCGATATGTCCAGGGCCATATGCTTGATTAAAATCATGATGTTCTAGGTGTTGCGGCGGTTGAGGTGGTGGGGTTGGAAGTATCGAAGTAGGCACGAATGGCCGTGCCTTAAAAAGAGGCGGCATTGGTCCAGGATAAAGAAGAGGATTCGGGATGGCAGCTGGTGGAGCAGGAACAGGTGGTTCATAAGTGAAATCCGGTATCCTGAGGTCCTGGTGAATAGAGGAGTAACCTGTACCAGCAAAAGTGCTGGAGGAGTCATCATGCCCATGAAGAGGCACCCATGGAACATTGTTGCATGGATTGCAATTCTTTCCTTTACTTGGCAAGTAGACATTGGAACCCTGAGGAGGAGGTGGTGGTCTAGGGTAACCATTTGGAGGTCCAGCAGGAGGATACCTACGGCGTAATCATCAAAATCATCATACCCCATCATCCATATACTTCCCTACAATTTGCTCACCCCGCATGAAATCCTGTCGTGGACGATGACCATGGAGGTGGCGTCTTCGGCGACCCTAGCAGCGGAATTGAAATGTCTGGTAGTGGAGGTGGCGTTGGGGAACCACCAAATGGATTAAGCCAACTAGCAAGTCTCGAAATATAACTCGGTTCTTCAGCCGGTGCTGAATCGCTGGAGCCAAATGATAATTGTCTACTTTTTACAGGTCTCCTGTGTGGTCCACGTAACGTGGAGTAACTCGAATATGATGAATACGGTGCATTCGGTCTTGGAGGTGTTAAGTAGTCATCGATCGAAGCCCGACGGCTTTGACGGTTCAATCTGGATTCGATCCTCTTAGCTGCTATCGGCGAGTTCGATGCGTCACCCAATTGTAGAATCAGCAACAGATATAGTATCACTACCGAAAGCAGCAGCGGTATGTTCTGAAATGACACAGCCATTTCGCACGTGTTTGCCGTATCGTATAGTGGTGGAAGTCTACAGGTAGGAATGAGATGGACTAGACGTCCAATGAATGAGAGCGAGTGAGATGGAGATGAACAATAACTTTACTCCCGCGCCAACTGGGTCACGATCACTCCTCATTCTCGTCATTCACTACGTACTCCTGATCCTCCTCGTACACCTCGTCTTCTAGAACCCGTGAGAATTGTTTTCAACTCTGCGTACGCGAAACTCATAATAAGATTATTTTTCTGATTTACCGTGATGCGCTTCTTCGCTAAACGCACGGATGCATCTGAAGCAACGGATCAATTTTTTTTATATTTATATTCTTTTAATATATTTTTTCACAGAATCCGGAAGTACGAGGCCTAAATATGAACCCGAGATCAAACAACATGCGACACTCATACATTTAACCAAGTTAGATAGAATGCATCTTGTGAATGCAACGTGCTCTTTAAGTGTACCATTAGGATCTTCTGAAGCCAAGTATGCAACTATACAAGTATATATATATATATATTTATGACTCGTCACGAAATACAGCCGGCACATATGGTGGAGTCGTAAAGCGGTAGAAGCAGAAGCCGAATGGGAGTAGGCGACCGTGTCGCCATAGGAACCGGAAGTGACCGTGGCAACTGCAAGAAAGTGAAGGAAAACAAAGAGGGGAAGGAGGAGCGTAAAAAGAAAAAAGATTCCATTAAAAGAACAATTACCTGGATCTATATCTTTTGTTTCATCTCATAAGTTTGGGTATACAGTTTGTCCTTTTTGAAATAATAAAAAGAACATTTTTAGGATGAATATTCAAGCTCCCAAGGGCTGTTGCAGTATTTAATTTTCCCAGGATACTTTGTACAGTGAAAAGAAAAAAGAATGCTATTAATTCAGCCAAATAATCTGAAGGAAGTACTTTGGGCCATCAGTCTGACACTAAGCGGGTCGTGACGTTGACGTAGCCTGAGAGTGAGATTCGTTTGTTTCTCTATTCGAATTGCGAATGAGTTCCCAAGTGGGGAGATGATAACGAGGATGAGAAGAAGTAAGAACGGAAACTTGTGAGAATCGAGAGCGCGCCAATTGCTGAGACTCGCGAGGCCGTAGAAGATGCCGGCAAGAGAATATAGGAAAGGACGAGGAAGTAGTCGCGTCGTAAGGTAAGGTAAGGTAAGGTCGGCCGTGCCAAGGTAATGCAAGGCAAGTTGTGTAATGTAGGTAAGTAGGCTGTGAGCAAAGAGAGTTCGTACCAGAAGATGCTGCTCATGTCCACGTGTGTCCACAAGATCATAACTCTAATCAAATTAGAATGGCACTGATAAACAATCGACCTCCATTCATCGATTCGCGATCCAAAAGAAAGTTTAAAAACTCGGTCAAATTGAACATCCTAATGGATCACATGGTCAAGATCGATTATCATCATAATCAATCTAATCACTTGAATCAATCCATATCCCTCTGCCTCATATACCTACTGCTTCGCATATGTAATTACTCACCGTCCAAAAATTCATCTCCAATTAATATTTCTATCTCCTTGGATGAGCATCACAAACACACCCTTTGTTTTCAACTAATCAAATGTTCATGTAATTTCAGAACTCAACACTCCAGGACACTTTGGATCACAAAAAAGGATGAACACGGTTACACTGTGCTGAGAGCAGACTCGATTTTGATACTGATGCTACGGACGCTTCTTCTCCTGCTAATGGTCGTCCTAGTGGTGATGATGGTGCCGGTGGTGGTGGTGGTGGTGGTGATGATGGCGGTACCGAGGGCCGACTATCCAACAAGAAAGATATGCACCTGACAAGGGTCAGAGAGAGAGTCCATTTGTGCAGCACACACCTAGGCCTGTTATATCGAGTCTCCTCTTCTCTCACCATTACCAACGTTCCACCACTGCCAAGAACACCACCACCGCCATTGCTACTACCACCAACGATCTCTCCTCGACTGCACTACAAACATTTCTCTCCTGTCCCATACTCGAATACCTGCTTTCCTAAGGCAGCCAGACAGACAAGCAGCCCAAAAGACCAATTCACTATGAGTACCGCAGCCTGTACCCTGAACCACCATCTTCATCCAAGTACCTGAACCTACATATTTTTCTGTTGACCAAACAGTAATAGCAATTGAAGAAGCAATATATACCTGGATAAGAGTCCACCAGGTACTCAGATATTTCCAAGAAAGGTTACCAGGGTAGTTGGGTTCTCAGTAAGAAGCTAAGGGTAGTGAAGTTGGCTGCAGGTTGTTAATGGAGACTGAAGAAGGAAGGAGTCCCTCTAATCTTAATCCCAGTGGTTACTGAGCGTCGTTGGGATAAAGGGTGCACGAATGCTGGATGTTCGTCTACCTGGTTTTTTTATTATAATGGATTCTACGGAATATATTCGTAAGGGTCGCTACGGCGATGCTATTTAATTCTGTGTAAATTATTCATTTAGTGGGAAAGGTAAAAAATATTGAATATCAAGACTGTACGTGTACGTGTAGTACGAGTTATCGATACGCGTCACGTTAACGCAACATTAGAATGAGGAAACCGACGAGGAATCTTCGGAATACAAAGTCCCCAGAAAGTCGCGAGAAAGTTATCCAGTGGAATATTAGTGCCCCTGGACGGTACTGGCTGTAATGTCTCTTGTACGAATTCCTCTTTGCTGTTATTGCGTAGCGACGTTTATGCTCCACGAGAGAGTGAGAGGGAAGATCAGGGTCTTCTAAGAAAACGTACCAAATGGCGGTCATTGTTATAGCTACCGAATGCCAACTCTGACCCATCCGGCTTTCGTTTGGCTCTGCCAATTGCAATAACGTTTCTCTTATTGGATTGTTTTGCAAGAGTATGTGCATTGAGATTTTATTATTGAATTTCGCTAATTGCTCAGTTTTAAGGATTAAAGCAGAAATTGCGTTTTTGATAATATCTGGTTATCTTCAATTGTAAAACGTATTACCAATTGTATGACGTAATATATAAATACTTAGATAAATGACACTCCTGGAATATGGGTCAATAAAATAATAAAATGTTGGAGATTATTATGATTCCTATATAAAGCGAATGTCTTGGTAAGAAGTTGTCATAAGCCGGTGTCACGTTTGAAAAACAGCTCAGTAAAATGAAGACGGATGTGAAGACAGAGATGCTGGTCATCGGGACGGTGAATTAATTTATATAATATTTTGCTTCGCTTTGAAATGATGTTATGTCATAAAGAATATTTGTATGATTGCACAGGTCCTCGTTGCAACGTTGTTTCAATGCAGCTTCGGTGCGGATTGTGGCTCCTATGGATTTGCCTGCTCTTCTTGTACGACTTTGCAAATATGCAGTAACAATGTTGCGTCAAGTATTAATCTAACGTGCCCTGTCGGTACATACTGTTCTGTATCTTCGTCGTCCATGTGTACTGCGGATGAGTGTTCAGATGCAGAAACAACCACGACTGATGCGACGACGACTGATGCGACGACGACTGATGCGACGACGACTGATGCGACGACGACTGATGCGACGACGACTGATGCGACGACGACTGATGCGACGACGACTGATGCGACGACGACTGATGCGACGACGACTGATGCGACGACGACTGATGCGACGACGACTGATGCGACGACGACTGATGCGACGACGACTGATGCGACGACGACTGATGCGACGACGACTGATGCGACGACGACTGATGCGACGACGACTGATGCGACGACGACTGATGCGACGACGACTGATGCGACGACGACTGATGCGACGACGACTGATGCGACGACGACTGATGCGACGACGACTGATGCGACGACGACTGATGCGACGACGACTGATGCTACCACGACTCATGCCACGACGACTGATGCTACAACGACAGAATCTACGACCACTGAAGCCTTCAACTGTACCGCAGAGGGAAGATTTGCTAATACTTCAGATACCACCTGTCAATCATATTATTTTTGCTTCCTCAATGGAACCAGTTATTCTCTATGGGAATTGACTTGTCCCACAACAACCGTTTTCAACCCAACGACAGCCCTGTGCGTAGCCAATACGAGCTACAGCTGCAATGCTGAAACTACAACTGCAGCTTCTATAATGACGACAGAAGCTACGACCGCTGAAGCCTTCAACTGTACCGCAGAGGGAAGATTTGCTAATACTTCAGATACCACCTGTCAATCATATTATTTTTGCTTCCTCAATGGAACCAGTTATTCTCTATGGGAATTGACTTGTCCCACAACAACCGTTTTCAACCCAACGACAGCCCTGTGCGTAGCCAATACGAGCTACAGCTGCAATGCTGAAACTACAACTGCAGCTTCTATAATGACGACAGAAGCTACGACCGCTGAAGCCTTCAACTGTACCGCAGAGGGAAGATTTGCTAATACTTCAGATACCACCTGTCAATCATATTATTTTTGCTTCCTCAATGGAACCAGTTATTCTCTATGGGAATTGACTTGTCCCACAACAACCGTTTTCAACCCAACGACAGCCCTGTGCGTAGCCAATACGAGCTACAGCTGCAATGCTGAAACTACAACTGCAGCTTCTATAATGACGACAGAAGCTACGACCGCTGAAGCCTTCAACTGTACCGCAGAGGGAAGATTTGCTAATACTTCAGATACCACCTGTCAATCATATTATTTTTGCTTCCTCAATGGAACCAGTTATTCTCTATGGGAATTGACTTGTCCCACAACAACCGTTTTCAACCCAACGACAGCTCTGTGCGTAGCCAACACAAGCTACACCTGCGATGCTGAAACTACAACTCCGGCTACTACAACTACCACTCCGACTACTACAACTACCACTCCGACTACTACAACTACCACTCCGACTACTACAACTACCACTCCGACTACTACAACTACCACTCCGACTACTACAACTACCACTCCGACTACTACAACTACCACTCCGACTACTACAACTACCACTCCGACTACTACAACTACCACTCCGACTACTACAACTACCACTCCGACTACTACAACTACCACTCCGACTACTACAACTACCACTCCGACTACTACAACTACCACTCCGACTACTACAACTACCACTCCGACTACTACAACTACCACTCCGACTACTACAACTACCACTCCGACTACTACAACTACCACTCCGACTACTACAACTACCACTCCGACTACTACAACTACCACTCCGACTACTACAACTACCACTCCGACTACTACAACTACCACTCCGACTACTACAACTACCACTCCGACTACTACAACTACCACTCCGACTACTACAACTACAACTCCGGCTACTACAACTACCTCTGCAGCCATTACAACGACGACTGTCGCTACTACAACTGCATTCAGTTGCACCGCGTATGGAAGATTTGCTGATACTACAGATTCCACCTGTCAGTCATACTACTTTTGCTATCCGAACGGAAGCAGTTATACGATTATGCAAATGAAATGTCCTACAACAACGGTATTCAATCCAACAATAGCTAAATGCGTAGCCAGCACAGCCTATACTTGCACTAATTAAAGCAATATAAATGAACATGCCATAATTGTAACCCAGGATTAGAATAAGGTATGAATGAGTAGTTTCCATTTTATATTCTATTACTAATTTTAAATGGGGCGAAGTTTTTTTTCGAATAATTTTGAATGTAACACAAGTACTGAATTATATTTTAATAAAATTCTTAACGTGGTGCGTAAATGCTGAACTCGGTAAGCGTGTTCAATCCAGCCGAACCATCAGAGCTTTTCGCTAAAGTTTCTCGAGTCCATCGTCGCAGTACACGATAGTTGTCGTCCAGCCTTTTTGGTCTTTCTTCTTTAGCACGACTTAAATTCTTTCTTCCTTCCTGTGTCAGCGATGAATCAAGTAACCTGTCAATACCCGTGCGAAGATCTTCATTTGCATTGTTATCAAGCGCTCTTTTTTTTCGCCGCTGACTGCTTGTCTCGTTCAATAATTCTGATGCAGAAGTTGTTGCCAATTGATCTTCAGACAATGACGTGGAGTAATGAGCCACCGCCCACTTGGAGATGCGTTTGTTCAATTTCTCAAGTGAAGAGCAATTAAAGAGAGTCTGCAACTTTTGAAAACTGATACTGTCATTCAACGCTCGAACTTGGCTCATGATTGAGTTGTTGCTATGTTCACGTGGATCTTCATGCAAAAGAAGATTTTTTTCTACTTCAATCAGATTCTGCTTCTCCATGCGCTCGTTTACGTGCTCCAGTGTCACTTTAATTTTGAGGACCAATCGGTGCTTGGTTTCTGTACTGACAGTTAGATTGCTATGAACGGAACTAGTATCGGTTGTTGTTATACCTGTTTGCGGCGTGGGTATTGTACTACGACGACTTTCCATTGTTGTTGGTATTGAGTCTGTTATTAATATATTTGTTTCTGCTTCTTCTGTACCCGTCTCTTCTGTCAATACTGTCGTTAATAATGTTTCATCTTCAACGTTGTTTATTTCTGTCGTCGTGTGGCAATTGTCATCTATACAATTTTTTCTTAATCCAGATGTTGCTAAATTCATATCGTCCTTTAAGGTAGTACCTTCTGTTAACACTACAGTTGACTGAGCTAAACTTTCAGTAGTAGTAATAACACTGCCGTCTTCTGAGGCAAAGCTAAGTTTGGAGTCTGTTGATGGTGGAACCGTGCTAAAAGTAGTCGATAATTTCACGACCTGATCACCTGTCTGAGGTTTGTCTCTTGTTGTTACCGTATCGTTTATTTTAAATGAAATCCCGTCCTCAAACATTACCTCATCAGATGTTTCGCAGTATTCAGAACTGGTGGCAGAACAGGATTCGTCCGAACCATTTAATGTGATTTTCTGATCGTGAGTAGAAGACTCTGTGCTTGAGACTGATTCGGAGGATATTTCGCATGTTTCGCCAGGTTTACAATGTTCTTCCAAATTTTCTGTCGTTGTTGGTGACACGGTGAGTTCGGTAGGTTCGGTTGGTTCAGTAGGTTCAGTAGATTCAGCATCTTCAGTTTGATCGGTGTTACAGCACTCAGTGACAGTGGTACTAGTTTCAGTATTAGTATCAATTGTGGTACTAGCATCTGTCGTAGTATCAACAATGGTTTCAGCAGTACTCCTGATTATTGGCGATAAATCATCATTTGATGATTTTTCAGTTGTCAAAGAGGGAACAGCAGTAAGATCAAAACCAGTCGAATTCATAAGGGCAGGCCTGGCGGTGGTAGTTGGAGGCTGCGATCGAACACTAAATCCATATAATTTTGGACTGACCTTGATTTCAACCCTCTTTTTAGGATTCTGTGCACTATCACTGGACCATTCAAGAATACTTTTTGTGACAACAGAACCAACCCCACACTGAACTCGCTTATGCTTCCAAATCACAATTTCACCTTCGTGATCGACAATGGTAAAATTGACCATACGACTCTTTTTAGTATCTTCGTCAATTATTTCAAAAAGACCTTTTTTCCCAAGATTTTTGTCATTTCCAATACCAGGTTCGATCTCACCCGGTAATCTGGAGCACTCCAGATAAGGATTGGGAATAGTTGCGGAATTCTCAAAGGATATCGTATACTCTCTAATTACCAATCGTACTGGTGGCACTACACTCGTATTTTCTTTGATAGTGGTAGTCTCGATCCAACAAAGAGTAACATCTTCACCTACGTGGACGCTCCTCATGATCTTAGCCTCCATTTCATCGTGACGATCAGCCATGCCGCGACGTGCAGAAAGATCAATAAAGCTGCTGGACAATCTTTGATTTTTTTTCGTAGCTGAATTACAACTGATATTTATTGCAGATGCAATTAAATCTTCTACTGGATCACGTTTCGTACTATTACTTTTTTTATCGCTTGGTTTTCCCTTAGGTATTTTCGGCAGATCCGGTTCAATTATCTCCTCGGATAAATCCAGACCTGAATAATCTGAATCGGATAAACTGTAATAGTCATCTTGGTCGTTTTCATTCTCATTGATTGTCCCTGCAAACTCAGCGTCTTTATATAAATACATCTTCTCCTTTGGTGTCAACCCGTCCTCTTGCAGCCGCCTCTCTTTCACATGTCCATCATCGTGCCGGATGCTGTGCACTCTAAATGGTACAGCATTGCTGCCAGCAATAAAGCAGCAACAGATCTATTTAAAGAAATTCACAATTTTTTCATCATAAAAATTATTGATCACAGAGAATTAATGAAGTGTGCAGCCTTACCACGAAGATCAGCTGGAAGATCTGCCAACTGGATGGCCGACTGGCAATGATCATCATCATCGAGAGCGACTAGAGATGTTTTCAAGATGAAAATCAGGTGGTTCTTTGTCGGAAGAATTCGAAGCATAAGCAAAGAGTCTGGTCGGTCTGGTCTCAATTGTCAAAGAGGGGATATTAGGATCTATCAGCTTCGACCAATTCACCTGTCGCTTGGAACACTTTAATTCGCCTTGCATACTACCGTAAAGTAGTGATTAGAGAGGTACCCACATAACGGGCATCAGGCTGCTCTCGGCGATAGGTTAACGAGTGATTTTCACTCTCCGAGCCGGATAATCGGGAGGTAATTAACAAGATGCATTTTAGTAGCTCCAACCAATTGTCTGAAAGGATTTCAATTTCCTGTTGGGGACCAATTAAATCTATCTGTAATTAGAGAGGGAGCCAGGCCGACGCCTGCCGACGGGATCGCCTCATGGGCATTGCGGAAAATTACACCCGGTTTAAATTCAATTCGATCCACCTTACGGATCGTGACTCCTTCACGGAAGTGACCAGGATTAGTTCCCAACTGATCGCCAATTAGCATATTCGCGTATTCGCGATCCCCTTCTCCCCTTCGTTCTTCGTTCTCCTTCTTCTATCTTTCCACGTGCCTACCTCCATCACCATATACTCAAACCACGTGATAACACTCTGAACGCGTAATGCCAGATAAGGTAAGGAGACTAATCGAACGTAGCAATAAGGTTGACCTCGCTTGCCATTTGAGAAACACATCAGGACAGCAGCGATATTAGCTTAGTTAGTACGTAACGAGATCATTTTCCAATTTGATTGGGATTTAGATCAGAGGCTATCTAACGTTCGAATTACGCGGGTTAAAATTTCATCGACGATGTCAGATAGCAATTTTTGAAAATGATCAATGTTGCTGAATTTCTCAACTGGATTAATAATTTTACATGGCATGCCTTGTTTTCTGCAATTTTTTTATTACCCGTTTCTTTTCAGCAATGATAAGATAGCGATTTCATTTTATCAGCAATCGACAATCGATAACGCTGCGTATCGATTGTCGCGTTGACATCTATTGACAGTTGAGTGGAGTAGGATTTTTGGATAATGGTAGCAACGCTTTTCTTACGTCGCCTCGTATTATTGAACTGTTGAATTTTTAATTTGGAAACCCGGAAGACAGGAAGAGTATGGTTCGTTTCCGGCGACTTCTGCTCATCATCTTCGTACAGGTACCGTCACTGTCATTTTTCCTACAGATTTTATCAGTTCGTCATTCCTTACGCCTTGGTCGTCGTCCGCTCTGTGCAGGTTCTAAGCCAGAGCGTGTACTTTGCCCAGGGGATTCTATCTGCTCGAGAAATGGACCTGGACCAGGAAGAAGAATCTTCGGAGAGCGCAATGGATACCTGGCTGGGCGCATGCGCAGCAATCCTTTATGCAGCAATCCAGCACATATCCGGTTGGTGGTTCGTCCGATTCGCTTTGTCGACTTTCGTGCGACTTCGAGAGGTCGAGCGTTCTCGTCATTGTCGTCAGAACGAAGACTCTTCCTGTGACGACATTCATCACTGTCACGACAATCACGCCAGTCGTCATCCTAGCACCCCGAGACTTCCTCATCCAGTACATCAGGGATATATGAATATTAAGCCCTCGAGTCGCCGAAACGTAAAGATGGACGCAGTACTTAATAAATATTTAAATGGAGTAAGCGTCACCGCAGCGAATTTATTTGTTTCAGCTCCATGCTGGCGCAAGATCGTTGGCAGATCTGGCAGTCGGTTGACAGCAGCTCTTGGCATTGTTGCTGTCGTTTGCTTCATGGTTTTGGCAGCCTTTCAGCAACCCCCTTATGGAAATTTAATCTATGGGCTTGGGGCTGGTGCTGGTGTCGCCCTGGTCCATCTTTATTTGAAACACCTTGGATCTCTCGCAGGTATATTTTTTCTTATTTTATTATCATGCCAACTCACCACTTTTAGCTGACTGCCAATCTTCCTTACGTTCCTTGTATTTACAGGGGACCAAGCAGTACCCCTCTGGGACATGGGTGTTGTCGGTGTTGGACTCGCGTTTTGGCCTTTACTGGGTTGCGTCTTCATCAGCAGTAATGGTCCAGGATTAGCACTACTTCCATTAGCTGCTGCAGCTTTGCACGCATTGCCAATCACACTGTTATTGAATTCGTCGGAGAAGCTCAATGATCAGAATGAACTTAAGGAAAATCGAGGAGCAAATCTTGACTTGACGCATGGCGACGTGGAAAAGGCTGCGAATGGTCCATTCGTCAGGACAGGGTACGTTCATGGATACAATACCCATTTGGAAAACATTGCGAATCTATAATACTATATACTTTATATGTCTATATTTATAAATTTCTTATATGCATCATTTCAGGGGGGAGAGACTATCAAATATGTACTTAAGCAATGATCAAAGTTTATTCTTCTACCGAGTGAAATTACGCTACATGGTCTGTGATGTACTCCCAGGAATACCGGAAGAGGATGAATATGAACAGGAAGAGGAGATCATCGCGTGTCATCGACATGTATTACAGAGAAGAAGTATAGATGAAATCAACAAGTACACAGATGAAAATTCCAATTTGCAAGGCAACTATCTGGTTGAAAATTCGCCTGAAGTGATAACGTCACACAAAGCACATAGGATTTCGTTATGTCGTTTGAACTATCCCCTCTTATCAGTCATTACGTTGTTTCGATTAGGGAATGACACTTGTCTTACTGCCGTCATCTTCTTCTTGCCAATTTATAGCAATTACGTGGAGGCTCACATGCCAATCCAAGAGAAGGCATTTCTCTTGAGCATTTTTGGTTTCTCGATGATACTCGCAGAGTTTAGTATCCTCTGGTTCATCACTAGAGGCAACTGTGTTTCTTCGTCTCTATGCTCAGTCATCGCAAAGGAAAGGAACAGAAAGATTTCCGGTTTCCCGATATTCATTTCCATAGCACCGCTAATCAGTACTTTTGGTCTGTTCTGTAAGTGATCTTCAGTCGTGATTTGTAATATTTTGATTATTTGTTATTAAGGAAACTTCGGAATTTTTCAGTGATTTGGAAATCGAAGAACCACGACGCTATCACTGTAGCTGGTCTAGTCCTAGGAATTGGTAGCGGAAGCTGTGCAATCATTCTGCGATTACTTGAGAAGAAAGTGTCATCAGGAATTTGCCAGGATTTTACTGATGTTGCTGCTGGAGTAGCACTTATTGGATTTTTGCCTCTAGTCAGTAAGTGATTAATACGATAATGAGCATCTCCCAATATGATCATAACCTTAATTGGTTCTATCAGTTGATTCCGTCATTTTGTCTCTTTCAGAAATACTGATTCTGAAGAATGCAATTGTGGGTTATTTTCTCTTTGCTGCTGGAATCTACATCCTAACTTCTCTCGTATCTTTGATCGCTCTCAGATGAGATGAATATATTATTAAGATAAAATTATGTACAATAGCTGTATCGATTTTTCTGTAACTATCTCCTTCATGCATTGTTCTATATTTATTCACGTAGTACAATGATAAACGTAACAATCGTATCATCGTTTTAATAAATGATCTTATTAATATTGAATTAAGTTGGCCTAAGGCACCTGTCTTATGCAAACCGTCGTACATGAACATTAATCAGCAGCGTACATTAATACGTCGTACATTAATCAGCAGCTAGTTATCATCGTCCGTTCACATCATTATTATAATTTTTCGTTTATCAGACATGAAGTCACTTGTGGTATGTATTTTATTTGATCACATTCTGTTTTATGGTTGATAAGTATTAATTTACTACAAGGTATACATAACCGTTGAAAAATATTAATTAGACCAACCATTCCCGTGTTTCCGATACTTCAGAGTTTGACAGTGAGGCATCATCGAGAGTGCTGCCACCTGTGAATTGAAGTAGATATTACTTCAATAACTCAAATAAACAGTGGTAAGTAATCACTGAAATAACGATATATCATCAAATGCAAGAAACTAATTTTGCAGGATTTGATAATTTGCTGAAAATATACCTCTTCGAGAGGACCGAAAATTACAAAAGTGACGTAAAATACATATTCCAATATCATATTTTTATTGTCAAACAAAGGACAGACACGGCAGGTAAGAAACCTATAAGATAGAAGATTTCGGCCGGCATCCCAACAACACAGCATTCTTTTCCTTTTTTTTTCCTTATTGCCGTCGGTTTTGTATCCACAAGGAGCACATGTACCGGCTAGAGCATCGTTGACGCTCACTGTATAAGTTGTAATTGAGAAGTTCGCCGCAGGAGGGCAGCGCTTGCCGAATAGTACTCGAGTGAGAGGGGGTATTAGCTGGTATGAAAAAGAATGTTTTCGCCGTGGACATCAGTCTTCCGCGAACCGATCTCCTATATTAAGATCTTTTACGCCGGTTCCTTCCGTTCTTCCTTTCTCCCTCCCCTCTCGCTACATCACTCCACTGTTCTTCGTTCATCGCTTCCTCATCTTCTTACCGGCTCTCCTCCGAGGTATATTCACTTGATCATCCATTTCTCTCTCTTGCTCCAGCGCGATCTCTCTCTCCATCTCTCCTTGTGTTACCGATCTTACCCGTTTCTTGCGTCTGGCTATACCTTCTTCGTGATATCACTTGTTCATCACAGTCAACCCCGCAGTAAATACGCCAAGACGGTTTGAACGGTCGGGAGTCATGGGTTGGCCTTGGTTGGCCTCGGGATCCTTTACTGCGCTCTCCAGAGGACCAGTCATCGTCAATCTGCGTTCGCTCGTGCTACTCCACTTGGCGTACGGGTGTCTTCCTAATCGCTGATAACGGTCAACGTGGTTCGCCTTCGGCGGCCAGCGTTAGTTCCTTGCGTCTAACCTGCCCGTGCTTTGGCTTGCGGCGGGAAGTGACGAAGGTTGCAAGCTTAATTTCTTATATCGAGAGGATCGGTCGGTCACTGCTACCAAGTGATTCGTGGCAGTCGAATCGACTAGGGATGATCGCGACTTTTCGTAACCTGTATTATCATCTTTTCCTTGAGGCTCTTTGCCTCGGGCCTTCAGCCCATTTCGTACCATCTCTTCCTCATTCTTTACCACCACTTCTTAGATCGCGTAACACAGTGAGTTTATTTAAATAACTATATCGTAGTCACATCCTATCGCGCCGCGAAAATCCGAAAATCACGTGTCAGAATAAGTGAACAATTAGTCGTTATCCGAAAATTCGCAAAGTGAAATAATAATCGCCAAGGTCGAATCGTTAAATCATCGTGCGAATGGATCTCTAGTGTTGAAGGATGGACTGGACCAGTAAATTATACTGAAGGACAATTGAGATGAGACCACGAGGATTCTGGGAAATAATATTCAATAATAATAATAAAATAATATTCAATATAAAATCAGAAATAATATTCACTAATTACAAGGTAAAATGTAAAGAAGTATGATAGTTCTATCACGAACCTCATTATTGCATAAATGCTCGAACTTATTTACATACTACAGTAAAAGCACACAAATTTATATTTTCAACTGTATAAAAGAAAAAATGTATCTTTCCAATTTACCTTGAGGACATATCGTGTGCTGAATTCGCTGTGCACTAATATGGAATAAGAATTTCTGCATATCAGGAAGATTAATTATTGGTCCTCCAGATTAAACCCTGATGCAGTATTCTTTTGTCAGACTACAGCTGCAACTGAAAAGTCAAAAGACTCTGATGTGACAGTCTTTTTATTTAGAATGCTTACTGGCAACAAGTTACAAATTTCATTGGCCTATCTTGAAGCACATTCGTACCAGTTTATCAGTATTATTAACATAACACGGAAATATTGCCATTAATGAAACGTGTAGATCTGTGTCAGTTAGTGACTTTCTATTAAAAAGCCCACCAGGAACGTAATCGTCAACCCTGTTTGTAGTAATTGTACCATTTACCATATTCTGCGGCATGCTCTTCCACTTCGTGAGTGACGATCAAATATCGAATTGTCGAAAATTGGCCGCCAAGATGCAATAATCAATATTTTTCAATTGTTTTCGAAGTAATTCGTAATCGTTAGCACTTTTAAAATTTATAAGTATTTAATTCACGGGGTCTTTGATTGTCGTGGTATTGTAGAAAACTGAATTTTCAAAATCCTGCAAGTGAAATAATAACGACTGACTTTTTACACTTATAATTTCGCTGCTCGCTCTTATTTTGTCTAGTAATTGGCACCATCTTCTGATGCATTAGTAACGTCGGTTTCTCAGTCGGTAACTCTATCTACAGTTATCCACAACATGCGAGCATTACATAAAACGAAACTCCTTAAGACGCCTAGCTTATTTATCTTCAGTCAACGATGATGCTGAAGCAAGTGTTGATACGAACTATTCAGTCTTCAACTGATATCAGTTTTGTTCATATAGAGATTTATTCTGTATTTTATCGTAACTCTAATATAATAGGGACAACTTGTATGCACAATACAAGAAGTGCAGTGGAGACCAATTAAAGAGAACAATCAAGTAAGTGAATTATTCCTTTCTTTAATTCAATGTACATAGATATTTATAGATTTATCGAATACGAATGATTAGTAAATGCTCTACTGCGGCAGTATGACGTTTGACATTTGTCAGTGTTTGCTATGTGCTATTAGCTATCTGATTATTATATTGTACCTGATTATTATTTTTATACGCTTATAAATAATTGAGATCGAGATTGCCTGTCATATTTTTGATGCACGTGATATTACTTTGCATTTTCGAAAACAATCTGCAATACTTCACTACTGTGAGGTTAGGTGTTATTACTTCTCACTAAAATTCTATTTGATTTTCTGGTCTTATCGTTTCTTTCAACGACTACCCTGGCAGTGCAGTAGCTATACTTATTGAAGAGATTTTTAAAATTTATTTGTTGCTTTAACGATGAATCACTTTGGTTCTCTAGCTGCTTCTTCAAGTACAAGATTTGCACTCGATGCTTGTTTCTTTCTGCAAGATCTCTTCTTTTTTTTCCTTAGAATTTTTGGTTTTCCCATGGGAGCATCATCAGAGCTTGAACTCTCTTCGAATGTCTCACTGATTACTTTACCTTTTGTTTTAGGAACGTTAGTTGCCACGGTTGCAATGAGACCTCCTTTGCGAAACTTTTTTCTTGGCTCTACCTTTCGTTTAGATTCTGCCTTTGGAAGTTTTGCTATTCCAATCAACTTTAATGAATCTAACTTGTCTGTCTTTCCCGATAATATACTACTCTCAGTAACATTGACATTTGAATTAATTGCTTTTTGTCTCTTGAATCTTGACCGCTTTTTCTTAATTGGTTTTTGAATGTCATCTTCTACCACATCCTCGACTGCGACAGCATTTAGAATTTTTGCTTGTTTCTTCAAGGACTTTTTCTTCAACTTTCTTCCCTCTACATTGCGAATGTAGTTTAGAGTATCTAGCTTCTTCGAGCATGACCTAAAAATGTTGTGCTTTAGAATCCATTACATACAGACCTAATAAGAAACATACTCTAACAAGCCTTCACTATCATTTTGATAACTCGTTAATTCAGACACTCCCCAGCTGAGTGGGCTTTTTGAAAATGGAATTTCAAATTCTGTTCCTCCTTCAGTATCCAATGAAACACCAGTCCAAATCTGCTGTCTTAGGGTAGTCAATTGGATATGCACTTGTCCTCTTGGCAAAATAGGTGATAGATTCCGTGTAGCTCTGCAACAGAAACACTTATCTCAATTATCATCTCAATATCTCTTTACTTTTCTTGCAACTGAACGTAGTTAATGATAACCTGGGTAATTGCAGACAACGAACGCGTTGTCTAGCTTCAAACTGAATTTTTGGAACCACCAATTCCTCTCCCAGCGAAAGGCTACGTGGACGCACGATCTGAGGTAACGGGATGCTGTCGGACGTTGATTCTTTTTTCGAACTTTCATCTTTCTCAGAAGAAGTAGCGAACCTTTCCTTGATGCGATATTCTTTTTTTCTGTCAATCCCAATTGGAGGATGAATATAATTTTCTTCGGCAGAGTCAGAGAGCTCGTATAAATCACTTCCTGGATCCGTTGTTGGCAAATCCATAACGGCTCGTCGAGTCTGAATAACAAATTAAAAAGAATTAAAAAATCAATCGAATTAACAGGATAATTGTTAAAAAGTTATAAAATAACAGCACCAAAAGTCTCCTTGGCAAAGGCGGACTCCTATCCATAGTTATTTTCTTTCGCATTCTTTTTTCCCTCGCAGACGATCCTCCCGGAACCTCAGATCTTGCTTGTAGCGACGATGGCAGCGGAACGCAAAGATATTGGCAATCGTATCGACCATTCATAGTATTTCCAATAGGTTCCATTGTTTCCAGTTTACCTTCATCGGACGTACTGTCCGACGTGTCTCCCTCGTCGCTGTTATTCACGATTCATTAATGTCGATTAAAAATAAAATTCTAGGAATTATTGAAATGTACGTACCTCGAGTAATCAGTTAGATTAATATTCGTTGGTTCGTCCGCGCTAGATCCTTCCTTCATAAGTCTGGCAATAATTTTATTTCGAAGTCTTTCCTGATCAGCCATTCATTGATCATCCTTGTCAAACATATAGAATCAAATTTTGTTTCCAGCTTCTCATATAATTAAAGATTAACTTGAGCGTCGCACTTACCCCAAACGATCCATAAAGCAAAATTAATAGAAAAAAAAACTTTAATCGACATACTCTTTTGATTAATTAAGCAAATCCGCTAAATTAAAACTCACGTTACCTTCGTTGGATCATCGTCGGAGAAGTCTAACAGTGTCTCGCAGAAGGCTTTACCGATCTGTTCGTAATCTTGAGTAGAAAAATGCGTTCCTGCTCTGGAGCCAATTTTCGATCCACCTAGTGAAGCCTCCATGGTATAGCTATTCTGTATTCCCATTAGCCAGACGACTACGCGTCCGGTTCCTTCCTTGCCCTTTTCAATATGGAACTTGCAGTTCTCAAAGGAAAACTATAACATGCCATTGATCTGGTTGGATAAAATATCTTATCGTTCAAGTAATAACGTCTGCCTATAAAATTACCTTATCCGCTGCATTTTTGTGTAACATCAATGGAAAAACTTGCTCGGAAAGTTTCCCGTAACATCCAGCTCTCTTGCTCTCGCATCCATAAATAAAAATATTATGTTTTCTCGAGTGAGCATGAAGATCGCAATAAATTGCCATACCTCGCTCTTCCATGAGTCTTTGGCAAGAGTCAAGACAAAAAGAATAAATATTAATAATCACAGATGGCACCACTAATGGCATTTACGTTGCTCCTAACCTTCTTATCATGAGTTTCGTGTGCCAGACCGATGGATAACTTTCGCGCATCACTGTTCTATATTGCCTATTGAGATCCTTTCCCGATAAAGAACATCTATTGTTACCAACAATAACCCCGTCCGGATTGAGCATCGGTACCAGTTTAAAGATAAATCGTTCGCGTAATTCCTTCGAGATAAAAAAAGTCGTTAGCCAATTTTAATCGTCGCAAAATATCGTTATCCTTTATACTTGTCATATTACTCTGGCCTGATTAGATTCCCCAGTGAGAAAGTCGATGATCCCCTTCATCATCCAACTGGATGGAGTTTCACCAGGGTGAACTCTCGCAGTGATGACAACCCCTTTCTTTTTCCTTGCGTCGTCGTTAAACGCTGGCGCCGTTACTGTCAGGTAGTACACGTTATTTCCCGCCAGGGTGCGACACAGTAGACGCAGTTTCGTGAAGCGCGTCTTCATGGGATCCACGACAATTTTACCGAGATATTCCTAAAGACAGAAAATAAACGATGCAGTGAAAGAATAATGGCGTCCTCGTGGCTCTGTCAGAAAACTGAAGCCGGCTAGACTCTCCGTTACTCATATTGCCCCGTTTTTCGACACGGTACGTTTGATACGTTAAAAGTGCGATTGCGTCGTCACTCGTAATTTTATGATCGGTGCGCGGTAGATTAGTACACCATGTTTTTCCTCTTCTATTTTTTATTACCTGCAAGTCGCTGTATGTGTAAGGATAACAATGAGCCAGGTACACGGTATCTTGATCGTGCGGGAAAGATACGTTGAACGTCAGTGTGTGACTCTCTCTCTCCTCGTCCCTGAAAGATAAACAGGATCGATATATAATTATTATCGAGCAGTGATCGATCCTCGTTGATATTCAGGACGACGATGACTCACGAGGAGGACGAAGACGAGGAATCGTTTCTGTAATAGGTTATGTTGTCGCCGCATCTTCTCCAGCCAATTGCGTGCATCGTCGCATCCTTAGTCGAATACAGCAGTGGCCTTAGTCCTTCGTTATAGAGGCTGTCCTCTTTGCAGAAATTAACGATGGACAATCTGTAGATCGTTCTGCTTTTCGTATTCGAAATCCGAAAGTAGTACCACTGCATGTGTCTCTGCGTGTAAAGATCTCTTCTCAGATGTAGCTGATAGTAGGTGTCTGTGATCTTTATGACTTTTCCCAAATTTCCAGACTCAAATCTCGACTCGAATTGTAGATCTGCATTGGTAGATCCACTTCCGCTCGTTTGACATCCGTCGGTCGATACCCCGACACTCGGAGTCACTTCCGGGACCAGAATCGTTCCGCCAATGCATGATCTGCTGAACTGAAGAATCCGGGTGATCGATGATCGATTGATTGATATGACTTTTTTTATCGGGTAATTGCGTGCTTACGTAATTTGTCGCACTGGCTGGACAGTAACGGAAGATGACACTTCCGGAATCCTCCCCTATCGGTTTTGGCTTTGGTTCCTTTCCTGTGGGAACGTAGTAGGGCTCCGGTGTCGCCGGAGCGTATTCTATATGTTGTACCTTTTCTTGGATAACCTAAAAATTTGTGAGTATCGTCAATTGGATTTTGAATGATCTTAAGAATTTTTTGAACTTACCTGACACTCCGTTGGCCATCGCGCTTCCTGTATTATACTGTCTAGGGCGGAATGGCTGTCGGATGTAATTTGAGCTTGATCCTTGCTTTCCCGATACTTTCCAATGGCCGACGATAACGTCAAACTCGAATCAACGTCCCGCTTCGATAATCCAAAACGACCTTGCAGACAGTGGCTCGTTATGAAGCTGCCTAAAAGTCAAATTGATTTTACTAGAACTCGGTAATCGATCCCATAGAGTCTAGCTTTATTTTTTACGGCCGACGTCGCGACGCTTTTAATAACAGTCGACGTCCTCACGTGGCGTATATTAACATGAATATTTACACGCTAGTCCCATTCTGGATGGTTCCTCGGAGACGATCTGATTCGATCGTTCCTTCAGGTTAATCGATCTGTCGGTTCGATCGACGTCGCGACGTCGGATTTAATAAATGAGGGCGCAGCCAAGTGCGGTGTTTGCGTGTGTGGTACAATGAATTTTGAATAACGGGACCAGAAAGCAGCTGTGATGATGAGTGCTCGCATTCCCTAAGGTCTCTCTTGTTTCTATGCCTACGATCAATGAAGGCAGCTGCGATACGATTAGTCGAAAGTTCAAGCGATACGCTCGAGATTCTTTATAATTGTGGCTGCGTATAGGGTCCCAATGATAAAGAATTAATAATCGATCCGCCATTGTGATTAGGTGACGATTCGCGATACTTGGCGTCTGTCTTAAGGCTCATATTCACCAATTCTCTCGGTGCGTTGGGCAAGCAATTCGCGGCACTCCGGCATATTAATCTTAGCGTCAGGCTCCGACTTCACGTTACGGAAGAACGCTGGAAAATATCCTCTGCACTTGATTCAGTAGGCTACCCTGCCGGTGGCTATGGGTTACTCAGGAACTCACAGAAGAGCAACACTCGGCACGGTGCAAGCCCTCGCTACTTTTCACAGGATCACCATAATCCCCGTATCTCTAAACATGACGTTACGGAGCCAATCAATCAATTGGTTGATCGATCAATAGATTGACCACCGTGCGCATTCGAGACTCAAGGCAGCGAGTGGCTGTACACGAGCGCTACGAAGCTCTGGATGACTATTAAGACAGGAGGCTGGATCGACTCACCGGGTATCGGCTGAACCGGAAACAGAGCAGCCTGAAGCTCTTTTACTCTGCTGCTCGCGGCGAAATCCATGTCTCATGGCTTGAACACCGAAGAGCTTGAACAACCTGACCAGCATCCTGCAGTTGCTTCATCTGTCACGTCAGCGAGCTTCCTCGCCCGGTCACTTTCAGCGCATCCTTCAGCCGTAAGCCTCCCCTCTTCTGGACACTCGATGAGGACGTTGATCCGGAATATACCTCTAACCTCGAATTTTCAATTTTGAGGTGACAAGTACCTGGTGGCGGCCTGACGACGTAATCGGCTGATTCTAACACTCGGTTCCTGATTGAACTCGTGGATTAATGGATTCGTAGGCTCGTACCGTTCCTGCCGTTGGTTTGGCAATTGCCTGACAACGAACTCGCTGGGGGCGGAGCTGAACTTGTTTGCCCCAGGTTATTTCTATTGGTATTCGTCGTCGCGCACCCTGACTCCCGCTGCTCTCCTACCGACCTATCTGTACGTTTCTATACACAGAACAAGATTGTGTCTTTCGCGTACGAATGTGTTTCATGTATTTCTTTAGCAATTTACTCGAAGACTGTAAATGTGTGATTTACTGTAAACTCCTTGGAATTGAATCCTGGTTGAGCTTGCACTTGCAAACAGATTGGACTGGTTCTTCTCTGAGTGAATGGTGCTCGAGCCGATTATCGAAATTCGTGGCAAAGTTCGATAACATTCCTAGTAAGGGAGCGTGGGAGTATTGATCAATCAGTTTCATAGGAATAAGAAGGGTACCACGCGGTAGCGTCTCTACTGTGAAAGAGACGCCGTTAGAGTCTGTTTGTACCCATCGCAAGACCAACGATCAGCGTGTTCTTTCTTTTCAGCAGGACCATTGGGATCACGCGACGCCAGCTTTTCACCTAGGGTTCCCCTGAAATCTTCCTGGGAAAATGGGTCGAACTGCCACGGTTGCTGTATCCACGCTGAATCAATGGGCGATGGACTTTGATGGGAACTCCAAGAGAATCTTCCAGAGTATCCAGGAGGCTAGGGAAGCTGGAGCTACCTACAGGAGTGGTCCAGAACTTGAGATCTGGTAAATTGAACCTCGGACAGTGAGAACCTTTTTATGAGATATTTTTAAAATCTTTCTTGCTTCTTCTACCTGGACTGTTCGTCAATCTCTTTTTCTTGCACCTTCGCCAGTGGATACAGCTGCGAGGATCATTTCTACGAGCCCGACACTCTACTCCACAGCTGGGAGGTACTTGCTGAACTCTTGCGCTCTAATCTTTGCGAGAACATCCTGGTGGACGTGGGGATGCCGGTGATGCACAAGAACGTTACGTACAATTGTCGCGTGGCTTTTCTCAATCACAAGATTCTTCTTATCAGGCCGAAGATGCAGCTGTGCGACGACGGAAACTACCGGGAGAGCAGGTGGTTCTCACCCTGGACAAAGGTCGATAGAATCGTAACGCGCACGAATGCTAATTGTTGCCTTGTGCCCGAGGCCGATGATCATCTCTCGCGGATGACTCATCCGGTGCTTGTAATTTGCGCAGGAACGCACCGTCGAGGATTACTTTTTGCCCAGGATGATCGGACAGATAACAGGACAGAGCCTTGTACCTTTTGGAGACGCCGTCATCTCCACCAGGGATACTTGTATTGGTTTTGAGATCTGCGAGGAACTCTGGAATCCGGCCAGCAATCACATCCCCATGGCCTATGATGGGGTTGAAATAATTGCTAATGGTACGCCTTTATGTCATTCTTGAAAATCCTTCTCAGAAATCCTTCGAAGCTTTAGTTGCTTCCTTTAATGTGTTTTCTGTCGTCTTTCAATCTTCTCTATCTCTGATGTCAGGTAGCGGATCTCATTTTGAACTGCGCAAGGCGTACGTGACCTACGACCTCGTGAAATCAGCCTCCTTCAAGGCGGGTGGCTGCTACATGTTCAGCAACTTGCGTGGATGCGATGGCACCAGACTGTATTTCAATGGCGGTTCTTGCATCGCAGTCAACGGGAAGATTCTTAATCGAGGTCAACAGTTCGCTCTAGAAGATGTCGAGGTCACTTTTGCCACTTTCGACCTCGAGGAGATACGCTGCTACAGGAATAGCGTTAGGTCGAGGTCTCACACGGCCGCAAAGGCGCAGCCCTATCCCCGTGTCAAGGTCGACTTTGCTCTGACCACCGATAACCTTATCTGGGATCCGCCAGATAGGTTCATCGAATGTGACAATTGCTTCGCCGATAAGAAATATCATAGCGATCATCAGCACTGGGAAAAGAAGCTGTATTGTCCACCTGAGGAAGAAATATCATTGGCTCCGGCCTGCTGGCTCTGGGATTACCTGAGGTACGTTCGCGCTTTAACCGGAATACGATTGAGCTGACTGTCATACTAATACTCTCCGAAGGCGTTCTGGCCAGGGTGGTTTCTTTCTACCCCTAAGTGGAGGCATTGACTCCTCCGCAACCGCCTGTCTCGTCTACTCCATGTGCTGCTTGGTCATCCGCGCCGTCGTTGCAGGGGACTGTCAAGTTCTTGCTGACCTTCGCAGGATAATCGGAGACCCCAAGTACGACCCAAAGTCTCCAGAGAAGCTGTGCAACATTATCCTCGTTACCTGCTACATGGGTACGGAAAATTCATCGATCGACACGAGGTCCAGGGCTGCTAACTTGGCATCCGAAATTGGTTCCTATCATCTTAGTATCGGAATTGATACCGCAGTCACAGCCATCCTAGGAATATTTCAGCAGGTAACCAAATTCAGCCCGAAATTTCGCGTCCAGGGTGGCTCGCCGCGTGAGAATCTTGCGCTCCAGAATATTCAGGTAAAAATCAATATATTGATCTCTGATTAGGAGCACTTAACTGCACTTAACTAACTTGTACTTTTGTTAATTTGATGAAGGCACGACTCCGTATGATCATCGCTTATCTCTTTGCTCAATTGATGCTCTGGGTCAGGGGTCGACCTGGTGGCCTTTTGGTTCTTGGTAGTGGTAACGCCGACGAATCACTTAGAGGATACTTCACCAAGTATGACTGTAGCAGCGCTGACATTAACCCCATTGGCGGAATATCAAAGGACGATCTCAAGAAATTTCTTGAATTCTTTCGGTTGGTGGTCTTTTCCTTCCTTATTAAGTATACGCGTTAGAAAGATGTCTTGAAGAAGTCTTTCAAGTTTTTAAAGACCTTTCAATTCGACCACCTTGAATGGGCGTTGCAAGAACCGTCATTTTTAATCAATCGATCACAGAAGACCGAGAACCTTGATATTTCGAAATTTTCTATATTATCGATGAGTGCGAGAGAGACAGTCTTACTGGAATTTTCTTGCGCAAGACAGAGACACGCATACGGCTAAACCCAAATTTCGTCTATAAGGAGCAGTCAATTTTCCGAAGGGTTACCTACCTACGATTTGAGCTGCCACTATGTCTGTCCTTCTCTTACACACGTAAGAGCCTGTAAGACCCTCTCTCTCGCACTCACAGCAGATATAGAAAATTCAAGAAATTCGATTTTCCGAGAGACAATCAACAAAATTGGCGATTTATCCGTAGACAATTGAATCGGCTATTCGAACGACGTCTTCAGGACGTCTTTTGCCCTATATGGTTTTTGTCAGCCTTTTATCAGTGCCAGAGCTATCACATTTACAATAATTAGGCAAAGCTACGGGATCACCGCCCTAAATAGCATCCTCGAGGCACAACCCACGGCGGAATTGGAGCCGCTTCATGAGGATGGCGTCGTGGCGCAATTGGATGAGATAGACATGGGTATGACGTACAAGGAATTGGGAACTTTCGGCCGATTGAGAAAGCAAAACTGTGCCGGTCCGTTTTCCATGTTCTGCAAACTCGTTTACATGTGGGATAATTGTACGCCAAAAGAGGTATGCAGTTGGTCAATGCAATTATTCACTTACCCACATATTATAAGACTCTTATTACGTGTCTCTGATATTACTCGCTAGGTGGCTGACAAGGTAAAACATTTTTATCGGTGTTACGCGATAAATCGTCACAAGATGACTGTACTCACACCTTCGTGTCACGCAGAGACTTACAGTCCGGATGACAATAGGTTTGATCATCGTCCATTCCTTTACAACCATACTTGGAAATGGCAATTTAATGCTATCGATAATCAGGTAAGCGATAATCGGTGAGTGATCGATCATAGATCACTTGAATTTAAAAGAGTAAATACGAACTATGATCTTAAATTTTGCTCATCCTTGGGTCCAGGTGAAACAAATGATTGATGAAAAATGGACGCGACAGCCTAGGAGAGTAACTGTGGCTCCAGAATATAAGCACGGGGGACCGAAACCGTTTAGTGAGTAAAAAAAATAGAAACAAAAAACGTCCGTTTTTTGGAAACCCCGTAGTAGGTGGTATTGCACGGCGCTCTGATCTATAGATCTTTGGCGGTAAGGGTTGGTAATGGGAAACGAATGCTCTGTTTAATTACATTGTCATCTAATCAGGGGGACTTTTTATTATCTGTTACAGATTCTTTGGTTTATCCAGGAGTAGTAGTTTAAACGTAATCGTTAAAACGTTAAACGTTAAAAATGTTCATTGAATGTCGAACAAAGTGCCTCGTTGCCGTTAGCGCAATTGATGATTATATTATTTTTCTAATAAACAACGCAAAAACTGTACTTCCACTGTTATCACGCAAATAAAAGACCCTCTAAAAATATTGGCGTCTGAACGAATGAAAAAAAATGTGACAATCTGTAAACAGTAGGATTGTCAGTGATTGCAGGAGATATAGAATTAGCAGATGCTTGCTTGTAACATTGTTTTATTGTCTCTTGAGTTTCTACATACAGGAAAGTGCGTAACCACGTTTTACCGTTATAATCGATTATTGATTAGGACTAAGAATAAGAGCTATAACGATAATCCAAAGGACGTTGCCCCGAAGTAACGAGCCCCTATGCGTATTATACAGACAGAGAGAAAAAAAAAATATATCGTCAAACACTCTCACTAAAAGGCTCGTGCATTCGTCTCTGCAGCATCGCGATTGTGTGCAGATACCTCAATCACTCGTGCAATCATCTCGACCGTCTGGACCCACTTATTCTCTCAATTAAGTTAATCCGTTTTCATTGATACTTTCTCTTTACCGGTCTATCCGACCACGTTTATTCACACATTCATTCGTTCGTACGTTCATCCGCAATCAGTCAATTAATTCGCTCAGTCGCGTTAATAAGTAATAAAATTGTTCGTAACGACGATATCCCGTTAATCGTTAATTACGTGTATTATTACGCAAAGACGAAAAATCAGGCGTCGCCAAATGTAAACGCCCATATACACACACACAATTTCTTTAGCCGTACCCGGCCAGTCCAAAAGACGCGGATCACGCGCAACCAAAAGTTAACGACGATAAATATTTTTTATAATAATATTAATAATAGTCGTACCTGCTAGAATACAATAATAATTGACGAATCATCGACGCGATATCGTCGACGACGACGGCAACGGTGACGTCGACGACGATAGTGGTCATGAAACGAGGTTTACCTCTTACATCTACACGACGTAATAATATATACTATTGTGAATAAAGATAGACGATGACGATAATATAATTAATTAATAAAATTATCAATAAGAATGACAACAATAATCTTAAATGATGACGATACGAATACGGATACGTGTAATGACAATAATAATGTAACATTATGAATAATTCTAGTCGATACGTCGGACAATACTGCACGTAAATTAAATAATAACGTAAATACAGATTGGGCTTTGAGGAAATAACCGTATCAATGAGTATTGCTAGGGAGGTCCCCTCCCCCCCTTCCCGATGAAGGAGGATCGATATGAAAATTTGTAGAAAAATGAAAATTATGAAATTAAGGAATTCGAGGGACTTGCTTCTTTTTTATTAAGGATCGAAATCAAAGCAATACGGGAATTTCCCCACGCTTACTGTACATCAACAACATACATATTATGCAAGGTACTAAGAGTTACGGAGCGAGTAGGAGCCACGACGCACGCATACGCCTCGAGACCTAATAATAATTATTTACAAAAAAAATATATATTTTCAATCGACCGACTCTCGAGTCGAAGGATCCTAATTGCGCCTGTTTATTCAACTCTCTAAACTCACCGTAATCGTCAACGTCTCAATCTCTATATACAAATCATTCGATCCGATCTTCCGTCGTCCTTCGAAAAGTCGCGTTTGTTACGCAAGGAAGAAAATATAAAAAATCGCTTCTCTCTTCCCTGCAGCCCCGCAATCCTTTCTCTCGCTTTTCTCGATCTCCCACTTCATCCACCGTTATTTATATATTATCCGTTCTCTTCGTCTTTCCTTCGCTGCTCGGCTAACCAGGCTGGCTTAATTTCCTTAAAATTTGTTGACACGCCAGCCGCGACTGGATCGTTGCAGCCAACAAAATGGCTGACAGTACCGAGCGCATCGAGGGAATGACGAAAAGGAAGGAAAACGAGTCCGCGAAGATGCGTGAATCGTGCGTCGCGAGTGTTTCGCACGCGTGAGTTCCTTAGCCACCGCAAAATTGCACGAATCCCCGATTTCTGGGTAATTGTGTGGTAGAGTGTGTGTATGTGCGTGTCTCTTTCGTGTATAGAAATATTGCGTGTGTATTTTTGTGTGTCTCCTTGTGCGCGCGCACGTACGTCCTCTCCGTGTGCGTGTTCCGTGTGTCTTTGAATCCTTTTGGCGTGCGCACGAAGTGGAATGTTGAGTTTGGAAAAAGTAGTCCTTTTCCCCCCCTATATCACAGGTTACACCTACAAGTGCACGTATATTAATATTATTATTATTATCCATTGACATCAATTAATCTATATCATAAAAGAATTCATCTCTCGAAATATCGATTATACAATCCGATCGGAATTTGAGGATTTCGCGACCGCGAGATATACGATGAATCTGTGAGTTTTAGGTATTCGTGTAAAATCGAGAGACCGAGGGATCGACGACGTGATTTATTGATTCTCGCCTCGGCCAGTCGATCACGTCATGAATCCCTCGAGCAACCTGCCAAGTCGGAATCTCAACGTAACTTTCCATGCGTTTCCCATTAGAAATAAACGTTTCATTCGTGCGCGACAAGAAAAATGATCAACACTCCCGAAACGTTGGTTCCGAGTCTTTGGGTCTCTCTCGAAATTTTGAGTGACGCGGCGATTACTAATTTTAGTTTTTTCTTATGTTATTTCACCATTACCCAAATACCAAAACATCGCGACGTCGACTCTTTCATTTTTTTTTTTTTTTTTCATTTCACGTACTAACGACTATTCGATAAAAAATACTGTGTTACGACTTACGAGGCGTTCTAGATTTAAGTATAAAATGGCGCCTGCCGTTGACACCTTGCGCAAATACTTTGGCCTTTTTTGTTGTTAAATTAATAGAAAATTTAACGTGTTAATTTTTTTTTTCTTTTCGCTACTAAAAGTACCAGGTCAACTTGACAAAGTTTTACCAGGCGTGCCAACTGCAGGCTCAGGTCATTCATAAGAGTCTGATGATTAATCGGAGTTCCTCGAGAGCACGAAGAAAACGCGTGGCTACGACGACGACGATGACGTCACCTTGTCAGAAGGACGAGGCGCGTCCAAGGCGTCCCGACGGCTTGCCTGTCACCACTGCGGATGCCTCGATGAACGTTTTTCTCGCCGACTTGATGCAGGAATCCAGACATTGCTTATCCCGCTGCAGGAGGCCACCCTGAAGTTACACGAGCAAGAACAATTGCTGTGGCCCTTCACTTTGTTTCCGTTTGTCCTGTCCCTTTGTCTAATTCTTTACTTTCTCTATCCAAATTCCTTTAACGTCATCCCGATGATCAATGCCAAACGTGCAAAACGTTCCCCGAGGTATATAACGCGTGTTAACTTTGAACTCGGCTCTGAGATTTTGACTTTTGCTTTCCCGTTATCAATGGAGTCGCTACGATAATCATCTCGTTGTTTATGTGCGCACCTGAAGCAGCATGTTGGCGAAATTGCTGTTTGTGAACTTGAAGTGCCGCTTGTCGTAGAATTTAAGAAGCGCCGGGCTGTACGGATGCTTGTCCTTCAGGTGCAGATAGTGTACTTCCGGTTCCTGCGTTGTGTGGCCACACTCCTCGCACACGTAAACCTGTTGGATTAGGGAAATAAGGAATGAGAGTACTGTGCGCCTGCGTGAAAAAATAATGAGTCATATACGTGAACTCATCGTTTTATCGTTACCTTAGTGCGACGCTCCTTGTAGGCGTACTGGTGCTGCACTCCGTGCACTTTGAGACAATGACTCTCGAGGGAGCATCGTTGCGTGAAACTTTTTTCGCAGAGATTACACTTGTACGGGCGTACGCCCGTGTGCGTTCTTGTGTGCCTTTTGAGGTCAAAGGTATCGTTGAAGCCCTTACCGCAGAAGGTGCACAAGTAACGCTTCACGTCGCTGTGACACTTCATGTGACGATTGAGTAATCTTTGAAGACTGAAATTCTTGCTGCACACTCGGCAGGTGAACCGGTTGGGATCGTCATCCTGCAAGGCGAGATTACATTATTTTTCCGTGTTTTAAGTAAAATTGCGAGCGACGGATATTTTGGACGTTACCTTGCCAGCTGGTGGTCGGTTGGCGCGCTCCTCGTCACGGGTGGCAGCGGCCTGTCGCTGACCCTCGATAGCTAGAGGATTCTTGATACCGTGTCCGCCATTTACAAATTCCAGTTGACAGTCGCCGGGAAGACCAAGCTGTTGAACATAGATCAGAGGAAGGTCAGAGGTGATTCGTTATTCGTTATGTGTCGGAAGTGCAATACGATCGGATGAAGCACTCAAGTTGATTGGCATTGCATATTGACGACGAAGGATGCTTGATAGGTGAAGCCATTGCGAAAATTCTCGAGATGGAGGAAGGTGAACAAGGTACGAGAAACGAAAGGGAATTCCTTTATGATTGTGGGTCAAAGTTCATCGTTCGATGCCGTGTATGCTTTTGCCTTGATCAATCCGGGGTGCTTACCCTCTGCTGTAGTACACCGACCCGTTGCGTGAGAGGGGGCTCTCCAACGGGTCCCGCAGGAGGTGCACTCACTGTAGCTGATACTCCCGAAGGGCTTGGAGCGTGTTCCATGAGGGCGCAGGATGGGGAGGTACTCGTAGACGTGGCATCCAAGGAACAGCTAGCTCCTCCAGGACTGGGCAGGCTACCGCCGGCGCTGCTTCCTGAGTCAAGTTCGAGTCCTGTGATAGGATCAGAGATGATTTGCCATTGCTGATGTCTGATTGCTTCTGCGGATAATTCGGTAATAAATGACGTACCGCTTCCGGTGAAGCTTAGGCCAGGACTCAGTAAACCTTGATGTTGTTGCTGATGGTGGTGCTGCTGCTGTGACTGTTGTTGCTGATGTGGCGAGCTGGTTGTCGCAGCCGCCGCTGCGGCAGCTGCCTGTTGTTGCAACTGAACTTGAATTTGTAGTTGCTGTAATTGTGGCTCGGTTTGATGTTGATTTTGATTTATATGTAACGCCAACTCAGGTCGTTCCTTTGGAAGAGGCTGATAGCTTGATTCTCCTGGAGGATATGCCAATCCGGATGCCAATTTTGTGGTATTGAAGTGCTGCGGCGCTGCGTAATGCCTGAAATTATATAAACAATCGTTAATGAGGTGGGCGACGATCATTACAAAAAAAATTCATCTTAATTTTGGAAACAAACCTCGAGGTGTCAAAACCTCTGTTCAGAGCCATACTGTGCTCAGGAAAAGGATCGACGCTTGGCTCGACGGGTGTAGTCATTTGACCGTCCTGGCCAATTCCACTTCCGGCAGAAGCTGGAGAGTGAAGCGAATCCTCGAGAAGGTCGTTACCTCCATCTTCGGCGGGAAGTCGAGGCAAAAATAAATCAGCTGCATCACTCAGACTCTCAAGGAGCGCTGTGTGATCGGAAGGTGAGCTGAATGTTAAAGCTGCCGTAAATTGGAGAGGATCGACCACTGCGCCAGTCACCATATCCACCATCATTCCTGAATCAGTTACGTCATACGTTCCGTATTGTCCCGAAAGAAGATCATTCGGCTGAATCTTATAAGCCGATAGGTCTTCCTCTTCCTTGAGAGCGAGACCATAGGAAGCGCAGACGTTTTGCAGAAGAGAATACTGCTTGGCTTCCTGCGCACCGTACTGGCTATGTTGGGCATTCACGTCTTGTTGGCCCGTGTCACACTCCATACCTACTGCCGGTGATGGCGTCAGATAGCCATTTCCTGAAAATCCCGATGAAATCGCATGAGCAACCTCATCTGAGGTTCAGGGTGAAGTTGGCTGTAGCATCAGGAACAGAAAGACTTACCTTGAGTGCTGTTGTACTGATTGGCAAAATTTGCAAGATTGTTGCCACCCTTCAGAGACTCGTAGAACGGAGGTAGGGAACCAGTGGGAGGTGAACTGGGCCCATAATTTCCACGACCTCCATTGCCACCAGGATTCATACCGCCGCCACCAGCACCACCTCCAATAGCACCGCCACCTCCTCCTCCACCACCACCGCTTCCGCCACCCATAGCTCCTCCACCCCCACCGCCTGACGAATAACTGGCGCCACCTCCACCCGAAGAGGACCCACCGGAACCGGCATTCGAAGAGCCACCTCCACCACCTCCGGAAGCAGTGGTCGATCTACTGTGTCCTCCTGCGGCATGTGCGGATTGCGGACCAGAAAGTCGCATCGCCAGAAGAGGCCTCGCTATCGAATTTCCTATGGTGCGCGACGCTTTGGCGCCTTCCCGACCGCGTTCATCGTCCGCCGCGTCCTCCTTCCTCTTGGGTACAGCGTAATCTATTGGCTGTTCCTGAAGTACAATTGGTATTAGATAAGCATTTCGCAGCTGAGGTACCTCGAGTCTTATCACTTCCGGTAGACTTACCTGCTCGGGTTCTTGGCTCTGTGGAATCTCAATCTTGGCCTCCTCCCTCCTTGAGGATTGCGTCTGTGCAGGCACCCTCTGTATAACCGAGACTCTGGTCGGTGGTTCGACCCGGGGTGTTTTTGAGGGTGTCGTTGGTCTGGGTAGCTCAATTTTTTCCGACTTGGGAAGTGTTTTCTGACCATCGTTAGGCGCTATCGGCGGACTGCTGTATTCCTTGCGTTCGGCCCTGGTCAGAACGTGACCTCTGCTACCGTAGGGTACATCGCCCCCAAGGATGCTCGATATAAAGCGTCTGGGGGGTGTGTTCGTCGGGGTGGACGGCTGAGGCGGAGGACTTCCTGCGGGGCTCGTGCTGCGCAGACTTTCAGGAGTCGTCGCACGATCATCCTCCGATTTGTCTCGATCTAAGGTCCAAAAAAAAAAGTAGAATTAGACGTGTCATTGACGTTGCTCATTAATTTATTCATCCAGCATCACCACCAAAATTCACTCTGTCCAAGACGTTCCGATGACTTTCAAGATAATCCTGTATAATTTATTTTGTTCCCTACGTCAACGATTACCGATAATCGCTAAACCCCTTCGATCTTTCGCTTCCAACATGACGCGCACTCGTCGATCGACATGGCTGGCCTTGACAATCTACCGTTCGCGTTCCGCGAACAAGCTGAACGGCTGACTGCCATTCCTACCGTTCTTTTTCCGTGGCAGTGGCGGCAACGTTGCGAGTGCTATGGCAAACGTTCCATAGCGGAGCCGCGGTCACTGGCCCGCGCACCTCCCCAGGTACGACGCCTCAGGTCGCCCTCGGCGCCTCCACTCTCCGTATCGTCGAGGAACGTTCTCTCTTGACTTTGACACCGCACGATTTGCGAATAGAGCACGAGGACATAGCGCATGGCGTAGACCAGGAAGTCACCGAGGATTTAATGATTGCAGACTGCATTTTTTTTTATTCTATAAAAAAATTTTTTTCCGACCCATCAAAACTCATTTTCTTCGACCCTCTCTCTACAAGGCTCGCACTCCCTCCCTCGACTCCCTGACTCGATTAAAGTGTTTCTGTTGAATTTTTCATACCCCAAACCTCGACTGTGATGTACACGCGTTTCCTTTGCGCAAGCCATTGCGTCACGCTCGACGCGCCTTTAAGAGGATCCAAAATGGCCGATTCGTTAGGCAACCTTCGAAGCTGTACACGCGTCTAACTAAATCCTAACTGGTCGCACCGCGCTATAAATGTAAACGTGTCCCGTGAGCAGTATACCGATACGAGAGAGAGAGAGACAGAGAGAGACTCCATGAACGGTAGAAGCTACGTGCGACGGAGAACGAGAGAGAAGGGAAACCGGTACTTTGTTGCCAGAGAGGAGTTAGAGATAGTCGAATAGTCTAGCAGCCAAGGTGCAAGAGAGAGAGAGATTCCTCCTTGGACCGAATGAGCCTGACTAGGATGGAGAATCAAAGTGTGTGTTCACAGTGACTCGAATGCCTGGTGAGAAAAGGTGATCTCAAATGTAAACGTTTATAACCCTGATTCCAGAATGAAGTTGTGGGTTCCTGGTTAGAGGTTCGACACGGTACGCCAATGGGATGAGAGACGACGGTGGCTTAACAAAGCTTGGTATTGTCAAATCATCGATGAAACGTGAACGGGGGGTTAGCACCATAAGAAAAAATTTTGCGAAAGTTGGACGCGACACAAGCTTAAAATTCGGGTCAATGCCAACGACGGAATGTCTGCAGAGCTCAGTTTAGTCTGTCGGCATTGCGCGATCAGTGGCATTAGAGCGGTTTCAATGTCAGCCGTTCACCATCGTGGGAGGTTTCTCGTTTGATCGAGAGTCAGGTCCGATTGTTATGGATTGTAGCTAACTTCACCATCGTCGTCGACCAACGCCATTGGCTTTTTTCCCATGGACAGCACTCCCCTTTAGTCGTCGACCTACTTGGCCGTTCAATCACACGATCGAGTCCAATCGTTCCTTCGATTGATTTCAAAATCTCGAAGAGACTGTCGACACATAAAAACGGGTCCTACCGTAGCGTGGGTCCCCCCCAAAAAAAAAAAAAATACTAGAACTTGTAAAATTCAGGAACGCGAAAGTGAAACCCGAAAAACGTTAGTCCGCCTTACGTCACTCGACATCTTCCATAATTCGAGGTTACGTTTGTCCTCGATGGCTTTCGATTTCTTTCATTGGTCAGCATCCACTTTGACCCACCAGCCTGTCAGGTCTTAGAGATGAAGGGGCTGATCATCGAAATAGAAAATTCAAGGTGGATACACGAGGAAAGGAAAAAAGTATCTAGAATGGGAATATGATCCGGATCACTCGGAATGAGCTGGGTCCCCACCTCACAATTCCATTATAGCCAGATAGTCAACGTAAGGCCCTAAAGCACTGAAACGCAGTTGCGTCCAAGGAATGATGCTTTTGATGCATCCTCGGTGCAGTTGGTTGAACATGCAATGTTTGAACCAGTCGGCTACGCACATCAGTCAGGGAGACAGATGTGTGAGTATAGGTGTAAAGCGCCTGCTGTTTATGTAGCGGTACCTTGCGTGGGCTGAAAGCAAGGTGACACCATACCGGCTGGCTTGACCGTACAGTGCCATTATATAAGGGGTCCACGAAGTAACCGGTGCACCTCCAACTGGTTCATTTCATTCATCCATCTCCGCCATCTCATCCGCCCTACGTCTCTTCATCGAACCCAAATACTTTGATCCACTATCGAAACCTCACGACCCCCGTCGCACCTGACGAAGATCAGTCGGATCAGCCAGAGCTACGGTGTCTGACAAGTGACTCCTCTGCACTTGGCCCCCTTGCTTTCGAAGAATTTCGGTCACGGCTGATCTCTTGCGTCACTATGAGGTCTCCTGGCCGTGCTACGGATTGCCGGGTTCTATACACGCGTCCATACCCACTTACGGTTCTATCGCGCAAACGATGACGTCGACGCGTTGCTACCTCGAGGACAAAGCTCTTCGAGTCCAGTTGTAGTACATGCACGGGTGCGTATGTCTATGGTGCGAGATCACGAGAGCGTGCGCAGCTACGAGCGACAATGACGATGACGATGGTCGCGCATTGTACCCTCGTCACAATGACTGCACATCCCGTCAGGTAGACACATTGGACTTTGGCGCAAGTGCATGTCAATTATTTTACATGAACGGCGTTATTTACGTACCAGCGAACGGGACTGCGAATCTGATTCTCGAGTGAGACTAAAGGGGGGCCAGGTCAAGTGCCGTAATGAAAAAGTCAAGAGTCGTCAAAGTCCTCCAACCCGTTCGGCCGGGGATCGGTCTCCGAAGGTGCAAGGGGAAGGCACGTTCTCCACCGTAACTGGAATGAGCGTGAGCGGCATCGCGATTCGCGACCACAATGCTCTCCTCGTGGCGTACACGAGCAACCTGACGCTCGACAAGCTCAGCGTCCATTTTTTCTTTCTCCTTAACATGCCTTCGCACAGGAATGTGGGCTTCGCTCCTGGGTCTAAGATCCGAACCACGGATTCCCGTTCAAGGAAAACGGTCCAGAGTCGCGTCTTGGCTCGAGGCATAATTCACGGCAGCATTCTGTGACACCGACTGTATTACCAGTTGCTGATTCTGCTCTTGAATAGCTGTTTAGCGATGCCAGCCGAGTCGGGTCGAATATAGTCGAGGACGAGTTGGGATCCCCCCGCTGTCCCTCGATCGTCTCATCGCGACAGAGGCTCCTAGCTCTCGATTCTCAGGCCGTCGCGTCATTGGCGTTAAACTGCCTACGGTACGTTGACGCGCGACTGTCAGATCGACTCTGTCGCTCGATCGCTCATTCCTGATACGGTTGCTCGAGCGTCGAAGTCTCCGATGTTTAAGTCATTGTCAGCCGGCCGGTAACTCGTTCGACTGCTGGAATCGCTCAACCGTGAAGGAGGTTGGCGCGTTCAAGGTTAGGACGATAAACGAAGAAATAAATGACGAACGGGTCGGTGGCGAAATTGCGAGAAATTTTTGAGGTTGGAACATCGAGACGACGTTTGGTTTTGATTTAGTAGCCCTTACGGATTACGGTTTGAATTCTCCACCCCCCCCCCCC